TTCCATGGTTTCTAAATGCTTAAATACCAGTTTTGGTGCTTATCTCTGTGAGTGAAGCATCAATCCACAGTCTACATGTGTAGTAACACTGGTCTGAATTACTTTTTTGCCCTTTCTGCTGCCTTTAGAGACCTTATAGTAGTTCATTCAGAATTAGTTACTAGTTCACTGAGAGTCATGCACTTTTATACCTGTATGTGGTAATTCTCTGATTGGGTCTCTAGACTAGCCGCACTAGGATTACAGGGGAACTTTGTTAGACATGCAGATTCTCAGGACTTGGCTTGGATGTACAGGATCAGACACACTAGGAGTGGGTCCTACAATTTGTGCTTTAGCAATTGCTCAGGGTGATCGTGAGGCTCACTAAAATTTAAGAAGTCCTTAACTCAGGGCACCCTATATGTCATTCAAACTGGAACCCTTCTGAGAGTGAAATGGATTGCTATTAATAAAGATGCTGAGTAATCTGAGACTATTTTAGGCAAATGAGGGCAAATGGTCACTCTGCTTTTATACTCCATTCTTTTTCTGAGAGAGGTCTGTGGTGTGTTCTCATTCCAACATTCCCAAACTACTGTGGGCAGGGCAGTCACTCTCCTTTTATGATTTCTCTGAGCACATGGTCCAGTTCAGTTCAGTCGCTCAGTCATGTCTGACTCTTTGCCACCCTGTGGACTGTAGCACCCCAGGCTTCCCTGTCCGTCACCATCTCCTGGAGCCCACTCAAACTCATGGCCATCACATCGGTGATGCTATCTGTCATCTAACCATCTTACCCTCTGTTGTCCGCTTCTCCTCCCACCTTCAATCTTTCTCAGCAACAGGGTCTTTTCCAGTGAGTCAGTTCTTTGCATCAGGTGACCAAAGTATTGGAGTTTTCAGCTTCAGCATCAGTCCTTCCAATGAATATTCAGGACTGATTTCCTTTAGTATTGACTGCTTGGATCTCCTTGCAGTCCAAGGGACTCTAAACAGTCTTCTCCAACACCACAGTTTCAAAGCATCAATTCTTCTGCGCTTAGCTTTCTTTACAGTCCAACTCTCACATCCATACATGACTACTGGAAAAACCATAGCTTTGACTAGACAGACCTTTGTTGGTAAAGTAATGTCTCTGCTTTTTAATATGCTGTATGGGTTTTTCATAGTTTTTCTTCCAAGGAGCAAGTGTCTTAATTTCATGGCTGCAGTCACCATCTACAGGAATTTTGGAACCCCCAAAATTGTCTCTCACTGTTTCCATCGTTTCCCCATCTATTTTGCATGCGGTACACTCCCTTGCTATTGTATGTATATGCCTTACAATATAATCATCCTATTGTGTTGTCATTTTCTTGCTATATATCTATCTTGATCTCTCATTAGGCCGTCTTAGCCATTTTTTCCCTTTTACTTTTCAAGTTATAAACATAATACATGCTTTTTAAATAAAAAAAACAGCCCTAGTATTTATAAAGTACAGGTCTAATTTTTTATCTCCCCTTCCTCACTTCTTCCCCTAAGTTATCATTATTATTATATTGACTATCTTTCTAAATCTAGAAAATGATGCATACACCAATATATATTATTTTCTTAAAAAGGGGGAAAATAGTTCATATATCCTGAAACTTATTGTTGTTCTTATTCGATGTGTCTGTTAGATAATGGGGCTTCCAGGTGGTGCAGTGGTAGAGAATCTGCCTGCCAGTGCAGGAGGTGTAAGCTTTGATTCCCTAGGTCGGGAAGACCCCCTGGAGTAGGAAGTAGCAACCTATTCCAGTATCCTTGGCTGGAAAATTCTGTGGCCAGAAGAGCCTGGCGAGCTACATACAGCTCATGGGGCTGCAGAGTCAGACACGACTGAGTGACTGAACACACATGCATGGATTAGCTGGTGTTCCTGTGTTAACACAAAGGGTTGAATTGCCCTCCTGTAAATGAGAGCTCTTACCCAGCACCAAACCTTAATCGTGATTCCGAGGTTACAGGCAAGAAAGAGGAACACAGGAACTAGGCACAAAATTCCTTTCTGGAGGAGCCCCCAGCCAGTAGACACAGCTTCCAAAGAATGTCACTGTTTCATACTAGGACATATTATCAGCATGCTTAAAATACCTCCTTACACATAGACTGATGTTAAGTTACTCATAAATGTATTTCTAACAGACTTTCAGTATGATTTTTAACAGACTTTTACTGATATTTTTAATGTGTTGAGTAAAATTCAACCTAGGACAAAAAATGTTATTTTTTGTTTTGTTTGGGGTTACCAGACCAGTTGTGAACAACATACACAGAAACATTTTCTTAAAGGAAGCCTCTTCGGTTTGGGGAATCCCAAGATTTATACTCCATTAATTCCCCAAATAGAAAATGTCTTTGTGATTACCTCCCATCTTCCAGCCAGCTATGCTCTATAAATCCATATGTTCTCAGATTATTTACAATAGCAATTAAGACAGATCAGGTATTTCCTGACATTTTAAAATGAGAGACTGTGTTATCTATTAAAACCTTTTAGCTTGTTTGCACAAAGGAGGCCTGGCATCAATCTGGGAATCCCTCGATGAAGGATTGAGCCACAGGCTTGCTGATAACCATTACCCACTCATTCCTGTTTCAATACATTTCAACCATATTCATTATTTTAATGACTGATTTTGATAGATTAATTTTTCCAGGAGTTTTATTGTTAAAAGCAATGCAGCAAATGTGCTTGTACATCATCTGTGTGCCTTTTTGCCTCTCCTTTCTTTAGGAGAGACACTCAGAAGTTAATATTCTGGGTAGAAGAGAGTATGAATTTAATATATTGATAGATATTGCTCAGTTGCTCTCCTAGAAGATTGTGCAGATTTATTTTCCCACCTGTTTTTCTATGACATCTGGAGTACAAGCTATTATTAGAAAATGCCAATCTAATATAAAAAGTAGCACTTCATAGTTTTAGCTTGCTTTCTTTGATTTAGAGAGGTTGATGTACAGTATTAATGGCCACAAAGCTGCTCTTGTCCACTCTTGGACTAAGTTCTGCCACAGAAAAGGACAGTGCCATTGTGACTACCCTTCCATTATTCACATTTAGCTGTCAGTGAGTAGTTTTAAGGACTGCATAGTTGAGATGCTGAGCACATCACAAGTTTTTCTGTGATGCTCTATTCACATGGAATCCAGTGAATATTTGAATGGAATATAGGAACCTTTTATCAATGCCAAAAGCATCTCTTACTGGTTTTTAATATGCTTTCTTGCTTAATGACCTTGAGTTAGAAGATAAAGATTGTGTTCAAAGTGTATTCAGAGATGATGTAAGAATAGTGTGACTGTGTCATGCTCATGTTTCTTAGATGGTTCATTTACAATAGTGTACCACTGTGAAAGTGATACACTTCCATAGTGTATGTGATATGAAAGTATCATAGTGAAAGTGATCGCTGTGGTTTGTTTTGTTTTGTTTTGTTTAAGTGACCACTGTGAAAGTGCCATTTTCAATAGAGAAAAGGGTTTGCCAAAATCTTGAGGGTTTTTTTTTTTTTTTTGGCTGTGCAGAATCTTTGTTGTTGTGCGTGCTTTTCTCCAGTTGCGGCGAGCGGGGATTCCTCTAGTTGCAGCGGGAGAACTTCTCATTGTCATGGTTTCTCTGGTTGCGGAGCCCTGGCTCTAGGGCGCAGACTTCAGTGGTCGCTGTCTGTGGGCTCAGTAGTTGCACGGCTCCCGGGCTCCAGAACACAGGCTTGGTAGTTGTGGTTCATGGGCTCAGCCACTCCAGGGCGTGTGGGATCCTCCTGGCCCAGGGATTGAGTCTGTGTCTCTGCATCGGGAGGTGGACTCTCCCCCTTGAGTCACCAGGGAAGTCCTAACTTTTTGAGTTTTGATTACATTTTAGGCTAGTTTGAGCAAATCATTGGAATTAAAGAAACATTATCCATGGACAATGCCAGATTGGGTGATTATCATTTGATGACTAGTTTGGATTTTTTCCTCTAATCTCTCTAATATCTTCTTTATCCATTATTTGGATGTCCTTTTCCAGCCTAGGATCTCTCTCTCTCTCTTTTTAATTAACTTTCTTTAAGTATAACTTACATACAATAAAATATAACAAAAATATGTAGGTCAGTGAATTGTAATAAATGTACACATCGGTTTAAGTGATAGTCCTTTCAAAACATAGGACATTAAAAAAAAAAAAAAGAACATTTCCATCACCCCAAAAAAGCTCCCTCAGATATTTTCCTAGTCAACTCCTTTTCACTGTGCCCAGGCAATCATATTCTTTTTGGTCTGTTTCTTTTCCCTCAACACTGTTTTTGAGATTCATCTTTGTTGTGTGTATCAGTAATGTTTTCCCTTTTTATTTCTGGATATTCTATTTTGTTTACATATCTTAATTGATTTATCTTTTAATCTGTTATTAGACATTTGGGTTTTTCTGATTTGGGGCTTTTATAAAGAAAAATGCTATGTTGCTGTTTTTCGGCCACATCCTACAACTTGTGGGATCTTAGTTTCCTGACCAGGGATTGAACCCTGGCCCTTGGCAGTGAAAACACTGAATCCTAACCACTGGACCACCAGGGAATTCCCTGAACATTTTTGCATAAGTCTTTTGTGGGCATATATTTTCACTTTTGGGTGAGTGTTTAGAAGTGGAAATGTACTGGGTCATATAGTAAGTGTAGTTTTAACTTCCAAAAAACTGTCAAACAGTTATTCAAAGTGTTTGTGCCATTTTACGTTCCTACTAGCAATGTGTCAGAGTCCAGTTACTTCACATTTTTGTCACCACTTACAATATCTGTTTGCTTTCTAGTTTTAGCCATTTTAGTGGCTGTGTATGGCTTTTAATTTGAATTTCTTGAATGAAATCTTTTGATGGAGAATGTTCTTGAGGTTTTCTTTGACTTTTCTATAGGACTGTAGAATCGTGTACACCAGTTAAAAATAATTTTTCTGTTGTATTTACAATTTTTTCTTTAGGTTTCTTTAAAAGTGATTGAAGACAGTAATTCAAAATGCCTGAAAATCCTGCTACAGGTAAACTAGATATATACTTCTTTCACTAAGTTAATTATTCAAAAATGGAATGTAAGATGGGATTTAACTTGTACTCATTATCCTTCTTAAAAAAGATAAACTGCAGGTCCTGCAAGTTCTTGATCGCTTGAAAATGAAATTGCAGGAGAAGGGTGACACTTCGCAGAATGAAAAGCTCTCTCTGTTTTATGAGACACTAAAGAGCCCCCTTTTCAACCAGATACTCACACTTCAACAGTCCATCAAGCAACTGAAGGGGCAAGTAAGTTACCCATCAAGATTTTACCTGTTGCTATTATTCATACCAACAAAGAAAGATAGAAGGAGACAGATACAGTCTACTCTGAATTCCACAAGGAGACTGTATTGGGACTTGTGTGCAGGTAGCATTGGCATAGATAGTTTAAAAATGTTGATAATAAGTTTTGTGTTTGGCTTATTTATGTAAAGTTCAGATGCTTTGAAAATTCTCAACATTTTCTTCAGAATTACAGGACACATAGCCCCTCTGCTTGGAGTGATGTCAATTAAGAGTTTTACCTACTTTCCTGGTTGTTCTATTTTGGGGTCAGGGATCGCAAATTGATTTTAAATCAGCTGTTCTAGAAGCTGAGCTTGAATAGTAGCTATCTTATAGATTAAATATGGGCAGAATTTTAAATGTAGTTGAAGATAATATAGCAGAGTTGTTATGTGAAAATTAACAAAATTTGGGGAAAAAATGCTTTTTGCTGATAAACCAAAATGCCTATCCATAAATATTTAGCAAGTGACTTTTCTATAACTAACTAAGGATTAAATTCTGCACATATGTCTTTCTGTGAATTACTTTCCCAAGATCAAAATTTATACCAGAATTTTAGCATTCCCCATATTGAAGCTTCTATATTCTCTGATAATGGAATGAGTACATCACAGCAGTGAATGCTATTGGTGGCAATAGAAGTTGGGAAAGATCACTACAGAACTGTCATTCATACTGGACTAAAATTGGACTTAAGCAACTGCTCCATCATAATAACAACCTTTTATGTTTATTTAGTGTGCAGTTATTATGTAAATAATCATATTTTATTCATCCAGCTATAAAATCCATGTGATTTCCCTATCTGTGTTTTCATAGAGTTTTTATGGGTGTTGATTTTTTTCTGTGAGTCTTATGACATTTGTTCTTGATATTTCCTTTGTTCCATTGCGTTGGTACTTGTATCAGCCAGTGATATTTTTAAATCAATCAATTAATTAATTTGGTCACACCATGAGGCATGACAGATTTTCGTTCCCTGACCAGGGATTGAACCCATGCTCCCTATATCAAGAGTGTAGAGTCTTAATCTTAACCACTGGACCAACAGGGAAGTCCCCTAGCCAATGATATTTTAAAAATTAACCTCTATTTTTCTTTTTCCTTAATTACTGAATTCCCCCACCTTTTTTTTTTCCCCACTAGTGTTTAAGTGGCTCTGCAATACATTTGCTACTAATGGGCAGGTTATTTAATCCCCGTGTACTTCAGTTTCCATGTTCACAAAATGAAATAAGAGTATCTCTAGGACTATTGTAAAGGTTAAGTGATATACTGTATAAGAGTTTTGGTATAGTACTTTACTTATAGCAAGCACTTAATAAATGCTGAGTTATCTTTGAATATACTACCTGCATATCTTTTGTTTCCCCACATGGAAATGTATGAAAGTGAAAGTTAGTCGCACAGTTGCCTCCAACTCTTTGTGATCCCATGGACTGTAGCCTGCCCTGCTCCTCTCTCCATGGGATTCTCCAGGCAAGAGTACAGGAGTAGGTTGCCATTTCCTTCTCCAGGGGATCTTCCTGACCCAGGGATCAAACCCGGGTCTCCTACATTGCAGGCAGATTCCTTACCAACTGAGCCACTGAAATGTATAGATCAATGCAGAAGGGCTCAGGGTCTTACATGCATGTTTATGTGACTGGACATGTCTGTGTATGTAAAGTGTAATGAGCTATATTACACGCTATGTTAACCTAGATAACGGTAGAAGGCAGTAAATGAGAACAAGTTAAACATTTTGTATAATACTAAATAAAACATTTATAGCCTTATAAACACAGATTCATGTATCTGTATCTTATTTCTTTCACATGTATATATTTAGAATGCCATTATACATGTGAGAGATAAAATATAACATTTAATAAATAGAAATACTTCTTGTCTGTAGGTTTCTGTTGATAATTCTCTCTTTTTTTTCTCCAACAGCTCAGCCATATACCCTCAGATTGTTCAGCCAACTTTGATTTTTCTAGGAAAGGGTTATTGGTGTTCACGGATGGTGCCATTACTAATGGGAATGCCCACAGGTCCTCTAATAACTTGACTGTATCTGGGTTATTTTCTTGGACTCCAAAGTCAGGAAATGAAGATTTTAACTCACTCATACAACAGATGGCCCAGGTAAAGTTATGTCTTGTCAGGGGACTATTTAACTTTATTTCTCTTGTTGGAAGTTAAAAAAGAGACATACACTCATACTTTTTGCCTCTAAAATGTGTTACTCTGTGTTTTGTTTGCTTGTGTTTTTATATTGTTAGGAAGAGTTGATACTATTTTCTAATCTGTGAGTTGGAAATTTGTTTAAAATTACATGAGGAAAATATCCACGTGCATGGTGAGGATAGTCTTTAAGACAATGACTCCAGTCTGACACATCTGTACACTTATAAGGAAAGAGATTCTCACAGTTTTGCTCATAGAAGGAAAAATAATGTCTGCTGAAGTGATATAATTCCTTTGAAATTATTTTTAATTTTATGTCAAAACAGAATCAATGGGAGTTAGAACTAATATAATTTGGAAAATCTAGTATATATAATTTGGAAATCTAGTATATATAATTTATAGTATATATAAAATCCAAATGTAATTTGGAAAATTATAATTTGGAACATCTAGGAAAACATTTGAGAGAGTAATCCCATTTCATCCTTAATATCTATTAAAATCAAGTGAGTGACAGTTGAAGTTTTAGATGTGCTAGTTTTTTTTATTCACCTTGCCTTCTAACAAGTACCCTAAAAAAATGAAACTTGAGTTTGAAAGTTAAAAAGAATCTGTTTAAGGTGTGATAGTTAAATAATGTTCTACACCTAATTCCTTTTTTGATCTAATTGCTCTGTCCTCTTAATTTGACTAATAATTATTTTTATGTGATGCTTTTATTAGTTGATTACATTTATGAAGTTCTTATATAATAAATGCAATTATTCACCAAAGCAATAAAATACTTGTTTGTCACAAGTAGCCCCATTTGAATGGTGGCCTTTCTGTAATCTTTTGAATTAACCTAATAAAATATTAATTTATCACATTAGAATTAAAAACAGAACCCTAAAAAATGCAGCTATTCTGATTTAGGTCTAACACTAGAGTATTTTTTGATAAGTCTAGTTTGCTTTTCTTGTTTAAAAATAAGAATATGTTGCTTTAAGAGAATTTAGAGAAATTCATTATAAAAAGTAATTTAAAATTTACTATGGGAAAAGACATTTTTTTCTCAGGAATTTTTGTCTGGCTTGGGATTCATCTCATACTGTGAATGAAGTGTGAAAATATCTCTCCAATTCCCTGAGGTTGCAGAGCAGTGCACATGCCCCCTTATGTTCTACTGAAAATAATCAAGTGAGGATTTCCCGAAATAAATAATTTATTACTGAAATGCTGAGTTTATTTGGTTTCCTAGAAATGACTTAAGAGAAGCTGTTTGGGGGCTATTTACAAAATAGAGATGTTAGTTCCTTAGAATGGGCAGGTTGGTTAAATGTAAACTTAATTGACTTTTTTAAAATCCCCCTTCATTAGGGCCGACAAATCGAATACATAGATATAGAACGGCCCTCAACTGGAGGCCTTGGATTCAGTGTGGTGGCCCTTAGAGGTCAAAATCTGGGAGAAGTCAACATCTTCGTGAAGGAAGTGCAGCCGGGGAGTATAGTTGGCAGGTGAGGAAGTGTGTTCATTTTGCTTTTTGCTAATTTTTTTCTAACAATTCTGAAAAACATTAAGGAGAGTAAGAAACTAGTCATACCAGAACAGTTAACAATAGCAGCTAACGCTTTCCTCTTATGCATTTTTCAGACCTTTTGCAGATATTCTCACATATACTTGTGGCATCAGTCTAGCTAGTAGTATCATTATTCCATTTTATAGATGTGAATGCTCAGAGAAGTTCAGTGGTTTCCCTATAGTCACAGAGCTATTAATGCTGGAACTATGATGTGATTCTCAGACTGTCTGATGGCAAAGCTCATGTTCTTTCCATTCCATCACACTCTCTCACAACTGAATGTGATACAGCAATGGTTTGACCAGTAAGATGGGCATATTGAAATTTACATTCTACATATTACATTATTTATTAAACTTGAGATTGTAACCACTTTTTTATTGGTCATAACATGCTGTTTATTTCACTTATTGTCAACAAAAATCCCTCTGAAGTCTATGTGATTCCCCCTCTGCACTAGTGCCTGAGTTTTATCTTTTTAAGGGTTATGTGCAAGACTTGTATTTTGTCTCTACTTGATTTCAGCTCTTTAGTTTATTCTTATTTAAAAAGCACACTATTCATTATATTATTACTTTTTAAAAAGATATATTAGTGTTACTATTGCCTGTTAGAAAGCTAGCAGCAGTAGCATAACTATTACAGAAAACTCTGTCAATAATATATTTTTGAATTTATGTTATCTACATATTGGGGATCACTTCTAATCTCAACTGAAAATTCAGAAATGATGGATTTTTATGACCTTTCTACCTTTATTCTACAATCTAATGGAGCATTTCCTAAATTTGTTCTGAGGAGTTATAGCGGTAGTCAGCTATGTATTTATTTTATAATATGCATTTATTTTCATCTGGCTTCTTTTATTCAATATTACGTTTGTGAAATTCATCAACATGCTTGATTGTAGCACTGTTCATTCATTTTCATTGTTGTATAGTATTCAACTATACAAATATACCACGATACATTAATCTATTACACTTAAGAATTTTTTAAATTTGTTTTCCGTTGTGCTGGGTCTTTGTTACTGTGTCTGGGCTTTCTCTGGTTGTGGCGATCAGGGGCCACTCTTTGTTGGGGTGCATGGACTTATTGTGGTGGCTTCTCTCGTTGCAGAGCATGGGCTCTGGAGCTCACAGGCCCAGTAGTCGTGGTGCACAGGCTTAGTTGCCCCAACATGTGGGATTTTTCTAGACCAGGAAGCGAACCTGTGTTCCCTGCATTGGCAGGTGGATTCTTCACCATTGGACCACCAGTGATGTCCAGTAGTCAGTTATATTTGAGAAACTCAACCCTGTGTTTGGAGATTAGATATACATACTTAGGATAATCATATAATTCATTGTCCAAGTTGGGACATTTTGGAGAGTTAGAGGCTGTGCCATTAATATGACACTGAGACAGCAGGTATAATTAGGACTATTCTGGCAAAGCTAGGCAATCCAGGGTAAACTGGACTTAGAGTCACTTGACAGTAGCTTCTTTAAGGCTATGAAGTCCCTTGACAAAAAGCTTACTTAACTTTGATTGGCTCAGATTTTCTTTTTAATTTTTTTTGACTTAAGGATTATTATTGGGATATCATTCACATAATGTAAGCGTCACCCTTTTGGCGTATATAATTCAGTAGTTTTAGTGTATTTTCAATGTTGTTAACCATTTTGTGGTCCATTCTTACATCTCAATTACTCTGTACTAATTGGTCTGTAAGTACAGTTTGAGGTGAGCACTTCCGAAAAGAGTAGTTTCATATTTGAGTGTGTAAAGACTTGTCACTACAGCTAGGTAGTCGGGGGGCTTCCTGGAAGCAGTGGTGCTTAAAGGAAATGTGAGAGGCAACGGTGGAGTCTCCAGAGGTGCCGGGCAGAAGGTGCGGGGAGAGGAATAGACACTTTACCTGTAGCCCTGAGAAGAGGTGGAACGGAACACAGCTCATATCTTAAGAGTGTGTCTGGTGTTTATCTGATGTGGGAGTTTAGTGCAAGGCAGTACAAGAAGTCACCAGAGAGAGGTAGAGGCCAGCCATGCAGGACCTTCTGGATCATTTTAAATGGTCTTTCTTTCTTCTGAGGATTCTCCACATAGAACTGTGTTGTATCAGGAACGTACTGAACATCCTTTGGCTCTTGAAGTCACAGAAATCCATTATTTCTGAATGTTGCAGTAGACAGAAAAGAATTGGTCTCACCTTGAATGCAAAGTGTGAATTCATTTGTGTATACAGTATGAGAGAGTTAAATTATAAATAACAGTAGGAGTAAAATGAGTTCAGCTTTAGAATGCATCAAAATAATATTTTCCAGAAGACTTCTGCAGTTTATTTTGGGTTAAGTTTATATTCCCTAGGCATATACTGACTGGAAAGAAATGAGATGTCCTGGAAGTCTACTGGGTAGAGGAAAAGGTAGATTAAAATAGAACTGATTTCCAGAAAATAGAAAATTTGAGTGTGAGTAAATTAAGGACCAACTTATTACAAAATGAGTTATTAATATATCAGGGCTAAAAAGATTCAAGAGCAACTCATTCATTTGGGATTAATTAAGAAATGTCCCTTAATGAATAAGCTGTGAGTAGGAATTTAGGTGAAGAAGTTAGAGGAAGGAGGATGTGGGAGATAGGAAAATGGAAGGTGATTCCTGGATATTGTCCTGGGGTGGTCATATTTAAAAATAAATGTTCCTTAAAAGAAAAAAAAAGATTTCTTCAGGACTAGGGAGGAATTCACAAGCAACATTTTCATATATGTTAAAAATATATATATATATTTCAAAATTATGAAAATCATTTTGAAAGTAATACATGGCTATAATATAAAATATAGAAATATATTAACTCCTCCTCCTGCATACCAGAAACCTCCTGGATTTTGACTACCCTAAGACAACTGTAGGAAACACACTGGAATGTTTTTTTGCTGCACCGTGTCACTTGCATGATGTTAGTTTCCCAACTAGAAATTGAACCCAGGGCGCAGCAGTGAAAAGTGCTGATTCCTAATCACTGGACTGTCAAGAAATTCACTAGAACATTTTCTTTTTATAAAGACAAGGTCTTAAAGTATGTACAATTTTATATCATATTCTTATTCTCTAATATAACATAAGCCTTTCCTAATAGTAATAAAAGGATATATATAAGCAACATTTTTAATGCAATATGACCTATTGTAAGAGCCACCCACAGTTTTGGCATCAGAAATTGAAATACCCAATTAGTTAGTTCCAAAGGAGAGTATAAAACATATGAGTCCCTCTTCTCAGAAAACTTAAAAATCTAGTAGGGGAGGATGTAGGTAGCTGTGTGGACAGCATACTCAGTAAAGATGAAAGCTCAGTGAGTGGTAAGCAAATAGCTTAGAGCATCATGATAATGAGACAAGTGATGAAGAGACAGGAGACAGAGCCAATGACACTTCCTTGCAACGTGGAGGGTGGATTGAATTTGGCTGAGTGGAGTGGAAGAGCATTAGAGATAGAGAAAACCATTTACACAAAAGCAGGAAATACCAGACATGTTTGAGAGGGAAAGAGTAGATCAGGATAGTTGGAAAAGGGGTTTATATAGAAAGGAAGCTAAGTTGGAAGAGTACTTGGGGCCAGATGTAGTGGCCTTTGAATACCAGTCAAGTTTACATTGTGTCCTAGAGGTCAGGAGCTACCGAATTCTGGTCCTTGATGAAGTTTTGCTGAATCTGCTGCTGTGACTTGAGAAAAGCATAAGCGTGATATAATGGAATTTTCATAATTCTAAATTTATGAATTATACTTCTGTGTTCCGAGATGAATCCCTTCTCAGAGAGATTTTTACTTTTGAAGGTTAAAGAAGTTCTTTTATGAAACAGTCATGACAAAATTCTTTCTTGTGACTCTCCTTATTGGCCAACAACCATAGACAGTCATTATATACTTTTGAGATGAGGAATACCAACACAGTTCAGTTCAGTTCAGTTCAGTTCACTCAGTCGTGTCCAACTGTTTGTGATCCCATGGACTGCAGCATGCCAGGCCTCCCTGTCCATCACCAACTCCCAGAATTTACTCAAACTCATATCCATCAAGTCGGTGATGTCATCCAACCATCTCATAATCTGTCGTCCCCTTCTCCTCCTGCCTTCAATCTTTCCCAGTGCCAGGGTCTTTTCAAATGAGTCAGCTCTTATCAGGTAGCCAACATTTTGGAGTTTCAGCTTCAACATCAGTCCTTCCAATGAATACTCAGGACTGATTTCCTTGAGGATTGACTGGTTGGATCTCTGCAGATTCAGCACAGGAGAGCCTAGAAAAATAAACCTTGAGGTATTTTGCAAGTCAGACTTTAGGTATTAGATAAGGATCTCAGTTAGATGGTTGACATTGAGAATAGAAAGGAGAGATGGGTGGATACAAGAGAGATAAAGATAAGAAGGAACTGTGGAGGAGGAGGAGGGGTGTTTAGGAGATAATGAAGTCATATATAGTAAACCAGAGTAAATCCTACTCTTGATATGCACTTTAAGAAGTTACAGACTATGGTTTACAGTCAGAATCTTTAGATAAGATGCTAAACTCCCTTTCTTACAGGTAAAATTTAACTAAGTACTTTAAAAGGTGATTGTGAAAAATAAAGTAGATAATGCCTGTAAAGCATTTAGCAGAACTTCTGGCTCCTAATAAGTACTCAATAAATATTAACTATATTGAGCATTTCTGGAGGAGGGCATGGCAAGCCAGTTCAGTATTATTAGATACTTGAATATTCAGGACTGATTTCCTTTAAGATGGACTGGTTGGATCACCTTGCTGTCCAAGGGACTCTCAAGAGTCTTCTCCAACACCACAGTTCAAAAGCATCAATTCTTCGGTGCTCAGCTTTCTTTATAGTCCCACTCTCACATCCATAAATGACTACTGGAAGAACCGTAGCTTTGACTAGATGAACCTTTGCTGGCAAAGTAATGTCTCTGCTTTTTAATATGCTGTCTAGGTTGGTCATAGCTTTTCTTCCAAGGAGCAACTGTCTTTAAATTTCATGGATGTGGTCACCATCTGCAGTGATTTTGGAGCCCAAGAAAATAAAGTTTCTCACTGTTTCCATTGTTTCCCAATCTGTTTGCCATGAAGTGATGGGACTGGATGCCATGATCATAGTTTTCTGAATGCTGAGTTTTTAGCCAACTTTTTTGCTCTCCTCTTTCACTTTCATCAAGAGGCTCTTTAATTCTTCACTTTCTGCCATAAGGGTGGTATCATCTGCATATCTGAGGTTATTGATATTTCTCCCTGCAATCTTGATTCCAGCTTATGTTTCATCCAGCCCAGCATTTCTCATGATGTACTTTATATATAAGTTAAATAAGCAGGGTGACAATATACAGCCTTGACATACTCCTTTCCTGATTTGAAACCAGTCTGTTCCACGTCCAGTTCTAACTGTTGCTTCTTGACCTGCATACAGATTTCTCAGGGGGAAGGTCAGGTGGTCTGGTATTCCCATCTCTTGAAGAATTTTTCACAGTTTGTTGTGATCCACACAGTCAAAGGCTTTAGCGTATTCAGTAAAGGAGAAGTAGATGTTTTTCTGGAACTCTCTTGCTTTTTCGATGATCCAGTGGATGTTGGTAATTTGATCTCTGGTTCTTCTGCCTTTTCTAAATCCAGCTTGAACATCTGGAAGTTCACAGTTCATGTACTGTTGAAGCCTGGCTTGGAGAATTTTGAATATTCCTTTGCTAGCGTGTGAGATGTGTACAATTGTGCTGCAGTTTGAACATTCTTGGACTTTGTCTTTCTTTGGGATTGAATGAAAACTGACCTTTTCCAGTCCTATGGCCTGGAATTTGGCTGAATTTTCCAAATCTGCTGGCATTTTTTTTTTTTTTTTAGTTTTATTTATTTATTTATTTTTCCCATTTATTTTTTATTAGTTGGAGGCTAATTACTTTACAATATGTAGTGGTTTTTGCCATACATTGACATGAATCAGCCATGGATTTACATGTGTTCCCCATCCCAAACCCCCTCCCACTTCCCTCCCCATCCCATCCCTCTGGGTCGTTCCACTGCACCAGCCCCGAGCACTTGTCTCATGCATCCAACCTGGACTGGCGATCTGTTTCACACTTGATAATATACATGTTTCGATGCTTTTCTCTCAGATCACCCCACCCTCTCCTTCTCCCATAGAGTCCAAAAGTCTGTTCTGTACATCTGTGTCTCTTTTTCTGTCTTGTATATAGGGTTATCGTTACCATCTTTCTAAATTCCATATATATATGTTAGTATACTGTATTGGTGTTTATCTTTCTGGCTTACTTCACTCTCTATAATGGACTCCAGTTTTATCCATCTCATTAGAACTGATTCAAATGTATTCTTTTTAACGGCTGAGTAACATTCCATTGTGTATATGCACCACAGCTTCCTTATCCATTCGTCTGCTGATGGGCAGACGAATCTGGTTGCTTCCATGTCCTGGAAATTATAAACCAGATCTGAAAAAGACACGTGCACCCCAGTGTTCATTGTAGTACTGCTGGCATATTGAGTGCAGCATTTTCACAGCATCATCTTTTAGGATTTGAAGTAGCTCAACTGGAATTCCATCATCTCCACTAGCTTTGTTCATAGTGATGCTTCCTACATGGTCCACCAGAGAAGGGAGTGGCAAACCACTTTAGTATTCTTTCCTTGAGGACATATGTATACCCATGGCTGATTCATGTTGATGTATGGCAGAAACCAATTAAAATAATTAAAAAATATTAACTATAATGGCACTTTTTTCCTTTAGATTTTGCTAATTTCTTTTTTAAAATATCCCCTTTTCCTTGGTTAGCAAGTGGGGATTGGTGATGGGAAGGAGATAAGGGCTCAGATATAGATTTGGAACTAATCTCTCTTGCTTTTCAAGGAGAGTTTGGCTTCTATTGACAAATGTTGGAGAAGTAAGGGACAATGGAGATGGGGTGAATCTGCTAGAGTGGAGGTTGTTGGTGACCATATAGCCCTATGTGGTACATGTAGACGTCAGATTGGAAGGAGTTCAGGGGTACGGGGTGGTGCCACAATGAGGACAATGCCTATACTTGCAAAACTTTAGCACTGGGGCCCTATACATTGTTTTTGCTTATTTTCCAGCCAAATGGCTTTTAAAATGGTGTGGTGTGTAGGGATGCACTACTTAATTGGTTAATTAGCTAATAAGTGCTTTGATGAAAAGCACTCTGAAGAGCTCTGTTCCATTATGCAATTAAATATTTCAATAATTGTATTAACTGAAGTAGTACCATAAGGTATAAACTACTTGAATAATACATTTTTATAATCAGGCTATTTGGATGGGAGGGGAGTTTGGGGGAGAATAGACACATGTATATGTATGGCTGAGTCACTTTTCTGTCCACTTGAAACTATCGCAACATTGTTAATCAACTATAGTCCAATATAAAATAGAAAGTTAGAAAAATCTGGCTGTTATATCACTTAATATTTTCTTCTGTCATCAAGGGATCAAAGGTTAAGGGAAAATGATCAAATATTGGCTATTAATCACACGCCACTGGATCAGAACATTTCCCCCCAGCAAGCAATTGCATTGTTACAAGAAACCACTGGATCTTTGTGTCTAGTCGTGGCCAGGGAGCCAGTCCACACAAAAAGCAGCATTTCTACCAGCCTACCTGATGCAAATCTGCCTGACACAGTGAGTTGCAAATTTGGAAAAATCCTTAATTTTGAATGATACCTTTGTTTTTAATAAGTGTAAAGATATTTAGAAGATGTCATTTTACTTGTCATAGTTCAAGAAAGATTACATCTCCAAAGACAGCATTAGCATGTTAAACAAGATAGTTCATGAAGAGTTTTTGTTGTGTTTTTCAGTGTCCTCTGATTCTCCTTGTTTAAGGTTATTATTTAATGTAGGGGTTAATTTATAGTATTGGGTGTAATTTGTTTGGTAATGGAAAGAGTTCCTTGGTCTTGTAACCACTTAACTAATTAATCTGGGAGTTTTAATGAGAGATTTACTATGAGTATCGTAAGATTTGGTTATTTGTTTTAAAAATATTATTTTTATAAATTGGGTTTTTTATGCCTAGATTATGGATACTGCAAAATTACAGAAGTTTTCTTTTTTTTTGCATGTAAGGATGTGTATAGAACAATTTAAAAGAATAAAAGTTAAAAAAGAATAAAAGGTTACATTCCCTTGGGAATCTTTAAACTTGCTTTGTAACATTTCATAGATTTTGACCTGCATCTTCAGAACACAATCTAATAAATCTTATTTTCTTATAACACTAAGTGCTGGCTGATTTATTTAATTTTCATTCAGTAGGAAAAAGCAAAAATAGACTTTATGGGTACAGTGCAAGGTCACAACACTAATGTACAGACATTTTCCCTATTGTAATTAGTAATATTTATAAAACACAATTTACATAATAAATGGAATGAATAAAGTGGTAAGTTGCTTAGCACAGTGGTTAAAAATAAGGTGTCTGGAGTCAGGCTAAAGTGGGTTCAAGTCCAGCTCTTACTTCATAACTGAGTCTTACTGGGCAGATGCTTTGAGTTCTCCACACCTCAGTTTTATCATCTGTTGCTTGAAAGTAACAAAGTGTCTAGTTCACAGAGATGTTGTCTAGTTCACAGAGATGTCCTGAGGATTAAATGAGACTGCATTAAATGTGAGGCTTAAATAAGAATGCATGTGAAGAGCTAAGCACAGTGCATGGGGCAGAATATTAACTGCTGTCCCTAATTCAGGCATTTTTAGCAAACATTGTTGCTTCCTGGATACTAGATATTGTTCCAGGTGTGAATCTATTAGATATTCCTGATAACTCTGGTTATTTTTAACATTGTGTAATAACTTTCCAAATTAGTATAATAGAAAAACTAAGTATGTGTTGCGATTCATGGGCTCGCAAAGAGTTGGACACGACTGAGCGACTGAGCGACTGAACTGAACTGAAGTATGTCCTAATGTCTTGAGGGGTAGACTTTTGCCCTGCAGGTGGATTATGTGGATTTAATGTATACTTCTGATGGAGCCTGCTGTTAGAGGAAAAATGCTTATGTCTTTTGGTCTGATTTGTATAATCCTTTTGCCAATATCTTCAGTTGGGTCTACATTTCTTCTCCTTCAGAGTCTCTTCAATCATTCTGGTCACTCTGTCCTTCTCAACATCTTATGCTTCACACTGCTGCCAGATTAATCTTTCTAAACCACTGTTTTGCTCCTGTTTTTTTCCTCTTCTAAAACCTTCAGTTATTCTCCTTATCTAAGCCTAGCTTTGCTCTTAAATTTCCCTTTTGCTTAAATGTATTTTTTCTCTGTAGAGCAATTCAAATGCTGCCTTTTCCTTGAAAGTGTTAGTCACTCAGTCATGTCCAACTCCTTGCTATTGCATGGACTATAGCCCACCAGGCTCCTCTGGCCATGGAGTTCTCCAGGCAAGAATACTGGAGTGGGTTGCCTTTTTTCCTTGAAGTCTTTCATAATTTTTCATTGGATTTGACCTCTTGTCTATACAGCTCTCCCATCTTATAATATTTTATAATTCTCTTTTAATTCAGATAAACACGTTTATTGGTTCCAGGTGATTGGCACTGTGCTAGGTATCAGACATAGACAGGGGAAAGAGGCAATGTGTTTCTGTCCGCTTGGAGCTATAGTGTCTTATGATCCAATATTCTGTCTTATATTTTAATTGCTTATGTTTTAGTTTACCTGTCCACCAGATTATAAAATCCTTAAGAGGATCTCTGATCCTATAGAATTCGTCTCTGAGTTGCTAGAAAGTTGACTAGATTAATTACATGAATGAATATTAATTTTTTGTGTGTGTATCTGTTACTCTAATAATTACTGTATTGGTAAGCAATGAATGTATGTGTTTTTACTAACACTTTGGTTTTTGCTTGCTATTACTTTGTAGATTCATTGGGGCCATATTGAAGATGTTGAGCTCATTAATGATGGCTCTGGATTAGGTTTTGGAATTGTTGGGGGAAAATCAAGTGGTGTTGTTGTAAGAACTATAGTTCCTGGAGGATTAGCAGATCGAGTAAGTTGACCTTCTTTGATTTCATTTTGGTTTTATACAATTTAAATTATATGGCTTAAAATGTAATTATGTAACATGGGTTACTAGAATTATGATTCTGTGACCCGAACTTAAGGATAGCTAGAAATGTTTTTTTCTATAAGTGTTAATGTGTACTCACTCTGTTTTATTTTAAAAAGCTCCTAAATCAGTATTTTTGGGTGTGTGTGTATGTTTTTTTCTTTTTTTTGCACTGTGATTGACAGTCATCTTGACTCTATCAAAAGACAGTATTTTTTACTGAAAGGAATCATGAATGGATATTGCATTCTGAGTATCCATGTTATTTTCTCCCTGTGTATCTTTCAAGGGTGTAAATGTTAAGATCAGATAGTACAAAGATTACAAACTTTTATCCCAATGTTGCATGAGATAAATTTCACTAGAATTATAATTTTTTGACATTATAAATAAAAATACTACCCTTCATGATTTAGCAGTGTTTAAACTGAAAGTGAGCCATTTAAAAATTTATCAACTATTTCTGCTTAGTTTTCCATTGAAGAAAATGTTAAGTACTACATTGAATTTTTAAAAGCACTTTAGAAATTTGAAGATACTTAATAATGAGTTCATGTTACATAGACTGTCCATGATAATCAGTATGACATATAAATTGTATGGGTTAACGTCTTTGTTGTTTTGCTGTTTGGTCGCTAAGTTGTGTCCAACTCTTTTGCGACCCTGTGAACTGGAGCCTGCCAGGCTCCTCTGTCCATAGGATTTACGTCTGCTGCTGCTGCTGCTGCTAAGTCGCTTCAGTCGTGTCCGACTCTGTGCGACCCCATAGACGGCAGCCCACCAGGCTCCCCCGTCCCTGGGATTCTCCAGGCAAGAACACTGGAGTGGGTTGCTAGTTACATATAAATTTATCCCTTCATATAAAGTATTAATAAAAATATATAAACATAAAAGTATCAGTTAATGTGAACATACAGAGTATTAGTAAAAAAACATGTAAAGGATCAATAAAAATGAACTTCCTGTGGACATATAGCTTTGAGGCAAACTTCTCAGCTCCCTATTTCTAGTCAAGATTGTTTCTCCTTATACAAACTGTGGAGCTACTAATATTCCTGTTATTCTTTCAGCAGCTAAGTTTATTTATTTAGCATAATGGCTTTCAGAGTTTTGTCTGTGGGCCCTGAGGGTCCCTGAGTTTCTTGCAGGGGGTTTATAAGATCAAGATGACTTACATGATAATACTAAGATGTATTAGCCTTTTCACTGTGTTGACATTTGCACTGATGATGAACAAGCAGTGGTAGACCAGGCCTGCTGTTGCCTTTGTATGTATTAGAGCAACGGCACCCAGCTCTACTAGGAGTCATTGCTTTCTTCTTTACCATGTGCTTGCAACAACAACAAAAATGGCAGTTTCACTTAAAAAAGTGCAATAAAAACTAATTTAAGTAAAGTCTGACCTTTAAGTGCGTGTCTTTTTAATATTGTGTTACAGAATGAAGTATACTATATAGCACTTCTGCCATATACTGAAGTATGGTGTTTGTCTTGATGAAAAACATTTGTGAGACAAACTGGCCACTTTTTAATATGGAACAGCATTTTAATTTTTAAAATTTATTTGATTTTTTAATTCTTTGCCTTTATTCACAAAATTTTTTTGAGATTTAATTTTTTTGAGATATATTATTTTAGTTTTAGGTGTACAGAATAATGATGTGATACTTCTGTATATTATGGAATGATCACCACACTGAGTCTAATTAACATCCACTACCACATAGTTACAATTTTTTTTCTTGTGAAAAGAGCTTTTAATAGCTACTCTCTTAGCAGCTTTCAGGTATACAATACAGTATTTTCACCTATAGTCACCGTGCTGTGGTTTACATCCCTATGGTTTACTTATTTTATAGCTGAAATTTTGTTTCTTTTGATCTTCTTCATCCATTTTGCCCACCTTGCACCCTGCCTCCCCAGCAGCTGCCAATCTAGAATGTCATTTTTATTTTTGAAAGAATAACTGATAGAAAAATTATTATTCAGGCTTGGCTCTCTGGTAGACGTTTCCTTGAATGAAGTAAGCCTGTTACTTAAAGGAAAATAGCTAACAGGATTTGTTACTGATGATAATTTGAGTTTTTTAGCAGAAATCAGAATTTTGGAAAATATTTCTCTGATTAGATTCATAGTGCTATTAATAAATATGATTTTTTACATTAAATAATGTATTGATCATATGTCAGTATTTAGAAAATCTGCGTAGCGATGAGTCAGTATTTTCCAAAGATCAATATATAGAATGGCAAATAATATATAGGTAAAAAAAAATCCATTCAAAATTCAAGATTGATGAATAGATTTTAATTAAACATTATCTGAAAACTTGATGTTGTTTCAGATTCCGCACTGCAACTAATCTTTAAGAAACCATCACTTGTCAAGTTTTGGTGCATTATCAAAGAATTAGGCTAAAAGGGCTATGGAAAAACTCTCCCATTTTCCAAATATATATCTGATGTAGGCCAGATTTTCTTTGTATACTTCAACCAGAGCACATTGCAACACACTGAAGGCTGAAGCAAATATGAAAATTCAATTGTCGTCTTTTAAGCCAGATACTAAAGAGATTTGCAACAATTTAAGAATATTGTTCCTCTCACAACTTTTTGTTTGTTTTAGAAAGTAGAATTTTTATATAATTGGGCACCAGAGTTTAACCAAGATGACACATGAAGTATAACCATGGTACCATCTATCACTACAGTCAAGATAATGAACATATTCATCACCCACAAAGATCTGTGACCTTTTGTAGTCCCTATTCCTTCGTCCTCAATTATTTTTGAGTGTAAAGGAGATCAGGAAGGTTGAGAATGGTCATTTTATGGGTGTTCAAAACACATCTGTGGCCCGAAACAAATAATAATCTTTAATTTTTTTTTAATTTAGCAACTTAGAGATGAAATATTGTGGAATGTTTTGGCATCTTTTCCCACTCAACCCCCCTCCTTTCAGTTCAGTGTAGTTCAATTGCTCAGTCGTGTCTGACTCTTTGAGACCCCATGGACTGCAGCGCGCCAGGCTTCCCTGTCCATCACCAGCTCCTGGAGTTTGCTCAAACTTATGTCCATTGAGTTGGTGATGCCATTCCAACCATCTCATCCCCTGTTGTCCCCCTTCTTTAGCAATTTTAATAGACTTATTTGCTAGAATAGCATTTTTCAAGATGCAAAGTGGTTATTATTAAAGAACAAAGGGTCAAAGAAATTTAGAAAGTACCAAGTTAAACAAAATCAAATAAATTTCTTTACTCTAAAAATTATCTGAGCTATTAAATACTGATGTACATTATGTATTTTCACAAGAAGAATGTGATGTGCAGATTTTCCGTTGGTGGCACTGTTAGTAAAAGCTCAGGTCTGATTTTCACCCTTTCCTGGAAGGGATTGTCACTGTTTCAGGTCTTCAGAATGGGGTGGTCATGTGCCCATCAGAGTCATAATGTAGAAGTGAGTTTTTATGCTAGACTTTGTTATCTGCCTAATATACTGTATTCTTGTATAATTCTTAAAACAGTCATAAATTTTATTACCAAATTATAGATATGGAAACTTAAGAAATCGCCCAAAGCTATACAACTTCAAAATGGCAGAGTCAGAATTGAGCCCACATGTGGCAGATTTACTGTTTAAATCTACTTATTCAGAGTTGATCCCAGTGTTTTCATTTTCTTGTGTACACCTGTCCAGGGTTGGTCAAGCCTGGGAATTGCCAGCTCTAACAGTAATGTTGCTGTTGGCTCTCTTATATAAGGAATATGTGCTGTGCTGTTTTAGTCCCTCAGTCATGTCCAACTCTATGGGACTCCATGGACTGTAGCCCACCAGGCTCCTCTGTCCATGGGGATTCTCTAGGCAAGAAAAATGGAGTGGGTTGCCATGCCCTCCTCCAGGGGATCTTCCCAACCCAGGGATTGAACCCAGATCTCCCGCATGGCAGGCAGATTCTTAACTGAGTCACCAGGGAAGCCCAAGAATACTGGAGTGGGCAGCCTGTCCCTTCTCCAGGGGGTCTTCCCACCCAGGAATCGAACCAGGATCTTCTGCATGGCAGGCAGATTCTCACCAGCTGAACTACCAGGGAAGCCCATGGTGAGACCTAAATATAGGGGACAGAGCAGTATTCTCTTTCCTCTCCTCCTATCCCAGCTAAATGGCAGATAAATCTCTTCAACTAATTCTGTGTTTTGTTGCTAAATGTTTAGAGTTGTTGCTTATGTAGCCTGATTATGGCTTTAAAATTATTAAAGGGAATATTGCTTTTCATTAAAATACACTTATACTTTTGACTCTTAATACTCACTGTTGACTATGGCAATCTTCATGGTAAGGGAATATGAATGTCTTAAGTCCTTCATCAAATGTGGTTGAGATTGATCGTACAGTGATACTTACATTCTGCTAAAGGGATTGATTAATACTAAATACTTTCTTTAAAGACTATAAACTTGTATAACAGAAAGTTAGAAAAGCAAGTCAGTGTTTTTTTATTTTATTTTATTATTATTATTTTTTTACTATTTATTTTTATTAGTTGGAGGCTAATTATTTTACAATATTGTAGTGGTTTTTGCCATACATTGACATGAATCAGCCGTGGATTTACATGTATTCCCTGGCCCCTGTATTTCCTTTTGTGTACATGTGTACATGTCAGTTGGGGGATATGGTAAAGAAAACCTGAGTCTATAGAAGTATCAGAAATGGATGCATCTGCGAAGGCTGTAAGAAAGACACTAGGCTAAAGCTTTTGACATGTAGTATTGAGTTTAGTGCTTACAACTCAACGAAAGAGGAATTTATCCCCATCTTGCTTAAAGAAGGATCTGAGATTTACATAGGATCAGTAACTGACCTGTGGCCCTACACCTTAACCAAAGTAGTTCCAGGATAAACTTGGATGTGTCTGACTCGAATGCCTTTAGTTGTCATTTTACTGTTTATTTCCTCTAATGTTATAAATGAAATGAAAAAATATTGATTTATATGAATTTTTTAGAAATGTTCATTGGTACATAGTTACAATGAGGGGGCTTCCTTGGTGGCTCATTGATAAAGAACCTGCCAGTGCAGGAGAGGTGAGTTTGATCTTTGGGTCCAGAAGATTCCCTGGAGAAGGAAATGACAATCCACCCCAGTATTCTTGCCTGGGAAATCCCATGGACAGAGGAGCCTGACAGGCTGCAGTTCATGGTGGGATCTCAGAAAGAGTCAGACAGGGCTTATTGACTGAACAAGAACAACAAGTTACAATGAGCAATCAGTGGATGTCATTAGGGTCAATTCCATGGAGAGGGAAATTATTTGATATTGTCCCAAGGTACTCTCCAAAATTCACAGTACCTGAAACATACATCTTTTGAGAATTCTGTTCAGCTATTTCAGAAATTTTTAGCAGTTAGAAGTGTTTTTTTTTATTTAATTGGTGTAGGCAGTGTAAAACTTCTTTGTTTTGCAGAAATCTCTTTCATGTGCTGTGGAGGAATTCTAAGGACATCAAATACATTGAGTTACCCTGTTTTCTCCCAAAGGTGACTTGTAGAGCACAACCTATTTAAAAGTTGTCATGAATTATTGACTTTTTGGTATCAGGCAGTTATGAGTCATGTTATAATAGCTATCCATTAACCTTTAATATTGGGCTTCCCTGGTATCTCAGCTGGTAAAGAGTCTGCTTGCAGTGCAGGAGACCCCTGTTTGATTCCTGGGTTGGGAAGACCCCCCTGGAGAAGGGCTAGGCTGCCCACTCCAGTAATTCAAGGACTTCCATGGTGGCTCAGATGGTAAAGAAACCACCTGCAATGCGGGAGACCTGGGTTCAATCCCTGGGTTGGGGATTTTACTTTATGTCTATAAACTGGTATTTTCCTTATCCTTCAAAATTATTGGTGAGGGCTCTGGAAATTTCAGTAGCATAGATTGGACATACTTATTTTGGTTTGGCCAAAATTTTCATTTGGTTAGTGAGTATGTTCAGTAAAATTCTTGGTGAAAATTAAAATGTCTTTTATTTTTACTTAAAACAGTATGAACTTTTTGGCCACCCAATGCTTAGTGCCTTCCTTTAATTCCTTAAGGGAAAGAGCATTTATTTTATAAAGTCATTATTTTCTTGAAGAAGGCTATGGCACCCCACTCCAGTACTCTTGCCTGGAAAATCCCATGGACGGAGGAGCCTGGTGGGCTGCAGTCCATGGGGTCGCGAAGAGTCGGACACGACTGAAGCAACTTAGCAGCAGCAGCAGCAGCATTATTTTCCATCAGTGACATGTTGCCTTTTAATTAAAGATCAATGATAGAAATAGCTTGGAATCAAAAGTGGTAATAATTTCACTTTCTGAATTGGGTAGGTATTTAGTGTTATTTTTTAGTTTTCAGAGAAACATTTATTTCTTTTGTAGCTCAGACCTAAAATCCTTTAGACTTTCAAATAGTTTTTGAATTGAAATTATCATGTATAACAGCCTAGCAGAGAACTTAAAGTGCAGAGTAATAAATATTTTTTAAACCCATAAATGCTATGGATTATGCTAATTTAGCATGGACATGCTAACTTGAATTAAAATATTTTTTTCTTTAAAAAAAAACTATATACTGTGTTTTCTCTATAATAGTGTATTACCCCTTCCTCAGCTATTTTAACTTTTTGCCTTTCATACTATCTTTGCCCTTATGCATAATTTTTCTCTTTTTTGAAAGAATCTGTGAAAGTTAATAAACTTTTATATTTGAATGTGTGATTAGCATGCTATGACTTTGAATTTTGGCATAGCTATTTATTGGCTATCATTGACCTATAATTTCTGTTAAAGAACAAAAAGGACTCTATACCTTTTAGTTTCCTTCTACAATATACAGGCTATGAAAGGAGAATGTTAATCAGAAAGTATCAGTAATACGCAGTATTTGGGGCCGCCGGACTTTAAAAGCTAGCTGTCATTTTGGTGTCTTTCCTATCAATCTGATTATGATTGTTTTTGCACTTGTGAATTCTGTATAACACCTGTTTTTCTGAAAGAAGAAAATGTTTGACTTTCAGTGACAGGTGCAAATTATCTGCATCATTTTAAATTGAGTTGAGGTAAAATAGGGAAAAAAATAATGCTTAGGAAATAACTAAATATGTACTTAGCATGAAATGTCCTTTGTCCAAGTCAAGTATGCAAATACTTATCGCCATGTTCTTTATTCTGTGTTCAGGGCATAATTCTGTTCAAGAATCATTTATTCACAGAAGCATCTTACCTTTATTTTTCATGAATACTGACTGTCAAGTAGTTGGTTGTTTTATTTCATGTTTGTTGCATTGGTAAAAATAGAATATCAAATTATCAATGCTTAAAGTAGAAATTCAGCAATTAGTTTTTTCTTCTTCCATAATAATTTCCTCCTTGCATCTATTACTTTTCTCTAAGTCTTTCCAAATGTTTCTGAATTGAATTGCCTTTCTGTTTTACAACTTCTGTTTGCGGTTCAGTAGCTTCTAGTGCCTTCTGCAGAATTCACAGTAAAGCATATAGTTTTCTACTCATTTTGATCTAACACCTTCTTTCATATAGGTTTCTGCAAAACTGGGGAAAAGGAAGGATGGGGAATTGAATTTAGTTTTAAGGCCTCCTTTCTTTCTCCTTCTGATGAATTGTTATTAATGAGTGAAATTAGATCAATGATTTCTCAGAACAGTTTTATTTTTCTTTTTTCTTGGATTAAAGGATGGAAGACTCAAAACAGGGGATCACATCTTGAAGATTGGTGGCACAAATGTGCAGGGAATGACCAGTGAACAAGTTGCGCAAGTGCTGAGGAACTGTGGGAATTCTGTCAGGATGCTTGTTGCAAGAGACCCAGTTGGTGATATTTCCATAACCCCTCCTACTCCTGCAGCCTTGCCTGTTGCTTTGCCTGCTGTGGCCAGCAGGAGCCCTAGTTCTGTGAGTATACAAATTATTCTTTCGTCATAAATTCAGTCTGGCTGTGATACATTGCCGGATTAGAAATGCTTTCAGTTCCAAGTGCCGTGCGCATGTGGGTCATGTCTCAAGTGCTCGGCAGTGAAGCAGAGGAGAGCCCAACTTGGAGACACTAGACAAGTCTGATTTTCTTTTTTGTCATTTCTCAGGGTTAAGGTTTCAACTTCCCTGGGCCTCTACTACTCATCTGTAAATTGGAGACTAATAATACCTGCCATTCCTATTTCATTAGATTGGTGAAGAAATATCCAGGTAGTGGAGGGGAAACTTTACATACTGGTCAATGTATGAGTATTATCAGTGATAAGACCAAACTGGCCAAGGGCAATAGACTCTAATAATAATAATAATAATAATCTGATTACTAACAATTGTTATAGTTATATAATAATCATTATTATTATTCATTATCAAGCACCTAGATTTATCCAAGTCATCTGAATTCTTTGGAAGAATTCTGCAAGATAGGTCTTATCCATTCAATAGATGAGGAAATAGGAGTCCAAATAACTTATTAAAGGTCATACAGGTAGTAAGTTGCAAACTGGGATTTGAATTTAGATCTTTCTGGTCCCTTCTAAGTTTTTGTTTTTTGTTTTTTCCTTCCAGTCTTACTGAGATATAATTAACATATAGCACTTTATAAGTTTAAGATGTGCAACATAGTGATTTAATTTACATACATCGTGAAGTAATCATCACACAGTAAGTTTAGTGAACATCCATTATCTCTAGCTGTGTAGATACACAATTTAAAAAGTAGAAAAAAGTTTTTCTCTTGTGATGAGAACTCAGGATTTACTCTCAACTTTTATATATAATGATACTAATTATACTTATCATGTTGTACCTTACACCCCTAGTACTTATTTGTCTTAAAACTGAGAGTTTGTAGCTTTTGACCACATTAATCTGGCCCCCTCACCCTTCAATTCCAAGTTCTTTCCAACCATATCACAGGCTCTGAATCAAGAGATAATGAGGTAAAAGGAAAGAAAGAGTTTTTAAAAAGAGGAGCCAGGAAGAAGAGGAAAGAAAAGAGAAGTGATTATGGCAGAAGAGGGTGGGAAGCCACCTCTCATATTCATTTGAGGAACCATTTGATGTCTTCTGGAAAGGTTATCCCTAATGGAAACCGCATGAGAAGAAGTTTTCTGTCAGAGATATTAGAATCTGTCAGAGGTAATAGAATTAGATATATGATTCTAATATCTCCGACAGATATTCTTTTGATTTCTCCTCCAAACTTGTTAGAACCATTTTCTTTTCCCTCCATTACTTTGGATCACTGAAGACTTCTACTTTGTAATGAGGGACCAATGTAGCTATGTGGTCAGTGAGAATTTGATGCAATCAGTTATTTACTTTTTATTGTTAAAGGTTTGAATTGAAAGCAAGGTGTTATATTTTTAGACACCTTGACGTTCAAGCTGGTTTTAGAAAAGGCAGAAGAACCAGAGATCAAATTGCCAACATCCGTTGGATTATTGAAAATGCAAGAGAGTTCCAGAAAAACATCTATTTCTGCATTATTGAGTATGCCAAAGCCTTTGACTGTGTGTATCACAATAAACTGTGGAAACTTCTGAAAGAGATGGAAATACCAGACCACCTGACCTTCCTCTTGAGAAATCTACGTGCACGTCAGGAAGCAACAGTTAGAACTAGACATGGAACAACAGATTGGTTTCAAATCAGGAAAGGAGTACGTCAAGGTTGTATATTGTTACCTTGCTTATATAACTTATATGCAGAGTACATCTGGAGAAGGCAATGACAGTCCACTCCAGTACTCTTGCCTGGAAAATCCCATGGATGGGGGAGCCTGGTAGGCTGTAGCCCATGGGGTCCCTAGGAGTCAGACACGACTGAGCAACTTCACTTGCACTTTTCACCTTCATTCATTGGAGAAGGAAATGGCAACTCACTCCAGTGTTCTTGCCTGGAGAATCCCAGGGACGGGAGAGCCTGGTGGGCTGCAGTCTATGGGGTCGCACAGAGTCGGACATGACTGAAGCCACTTAGCAGCAGCAGCAGCAGCAGCAGAGTACATCATTTGAAACACTAGATGAAGCACAAGCTGGTATCAAGATTGCCGGGAGAAATATCAGTAACCTCAGATATACAGATGACACCACCCTTATGGCAGAAAGTGAAGAACTAAAGAGCCTCTTGATGAAAGTGAAAGAGGAGAGTGAAAAAGTTGCCTTAAAGCTCAACATTCAGAAAACTAAGATCATGACATCTGGTCTCATCACTTCATGGGAAATAGATGGGGAAACAGTGGAAACAGTGGCTGACTTTATTTTTTGGGGCTCCAAAATCACTGCAGATGGTGACTGCAGCCATGAAATTAAAAAACGCTTACTCCTTGGAAGGAAAGTTATGACCAACCTAGACAGCATATTCAATCAAAAGCAGAGACATTACTTTGCCATCAAAGGTCCATCTAGTCAAGGCAATGGCTTTTCCAGTAGTCATGTATGGATGTGAGAGTTAAACTATAAAGAAAGCTGAGTGTCAAAGAATTGATGCTTTTGAACTGTGGTGTTGGAGAAGACTCTTGAGAGTCCCTTGGACTGCAAGGAGATCATACCAGTCTATCCTCAAGGAAATCAGTCCTGAATATTCATTGGAAGGACTGAGGCTGAAGCTGAAACTCCAATACTTTGGCCACCTGATGTGAAGAACTGACTCATTGGAAAAGACCCTGATGCTAGGAAAGATTGAAGGCAGGAGTAGAAGGGGACAACAGAGGATGAAATGGTTGGATGGCATGACCGACTCAATGGACATGAGTTTGAGTAAACTCCGGGAGTTGGTGATGGACAGGAAGGCCAGTCATGTTGCAGTCCATGGAGTCCCAAAGAGTCAGACACGACTGAGTGACTGAACTGAACTGAACTGCTTTTTTACAGAAAATTTTTAATTAGAAGACAAATAATGAGAAGTTTTAGGTTAACATTTTTTGCTCATAATAATTATTGCAATAATTAGTCTTCTGTTTGTTTCTTTTTCTTTACATTAAATTCTTTCAGATACAAATTTATGGTGAGTTTTTTCCTAAGTGGTTGTATTAATTTTTATCACTGTGTGACAGATTATCACAAACTTAGTGGCCTGAAGCAATACCCATGGTTGGTCCACATTTCTGTAGGTCAGAAGTCTTGGTGAACTCGGCTAGGTTCTGCTTAGATTCTTATGAAAGCTAAATCAAGGTACTGGCCTGGCTGGGCTCTTAGCTAGATACTCTAGGGACAGTTCATTTCCAAACTCTGTCATATTGTTGGCGGAATACAGTTTCTTACAGCCGTAGAACCAAAGTCTCTCTTTACCGGCTATCAGCGGAGGATGTCTTTCAGCTCTTTAAGGCCCCTTGTATTCCTTCTTACATGATGCCTCCTTCTTCAAACCACAGGTTCAGTCCTTATTTTTCACATCCCTTTCTACCATCAGTAGGAGAAAACTCTCTGCTTTTGAAGGATGCCTGCTTAGGTTAGGCTCACCTGGATAATTTCCCTTTTTCATGACATAAACACAGGAGTGGCATCAGGAATCAAAATTTGTGGGGACAATCTTCTAATTTTGTGTACCACAGGTGCTCAGAAAATATTTGACAAACCATTTACAAATTGCCTTTATACATACAGTTATGTAACTAAACATTATAAATAATAAGATTATTTTTCTTTTCAGGACAATTCTACTCTTTTTGAAACTTATGATGTTGAACTCATTAAAAAAGATGGACAAAGTCTTGGGATTAGAATTGTTGGTTATGTTGGAACATCTCAGACAGGTAAAATGAATCATCTCTGTTTTATATTTGGAAATAATTGTAAAGGATGTTAAAGTTTCTAGACAATAAAATTAAATATCTGCAGATTTTAATTTAAACATTGAACAATAAAACCACAAATCTGTAATAGCAACTAGTTACAAAAAATGATTAGAGAATCACACTTTTATCTCAGTAGTTTTATAGCTGGCTCAGTAGTCATTAACAAAAGAATTTAATTATCCAACACAATGTATAATGTTTGAATTATACCTCCTCTTGCTTCTAAGATATATATTTTGAATATTGTGAGTGTTACATATTATGGCATTTTATATGTGATAAAGTAAAATGATTATTGTGTGTATTTCATATTGTGAATGTCAGAAAGTATTACTATTATGTTTAATCAAAAGAAGATAAAATGAACAGTTTAATTAGAATTATATTTCTTTATATAAAGGGAATACTTGTAAGAGTAAGTGCATGCAAGAATAAGTGCCCAAGTATCTCTGAATAATACTACCTGAATTCCTTCATGCAAAGCTCTGGTAACTTTCACTGTAAGAGTTATCCTATTTTAAGAAATAACTGTAAAAAGGAAAAATAAATCTTTTTCACAAATATTTGCTTGTAAGATGAAAAGTTAGAGTTATGAAATGTTCTAGTGTTTTAAAAATTGCAAGGTTAGAGAGTTAATTTTTAAAAGTTATTATTTTGCATTTTATAGCAGGTGGGAAAGATTATAAGTGTTAATATATTCAGAGTCCTGAATGAAATTCATGTCAGACCACCTCGTGCTATTTTAGCCTAATGAAATAGCTTCTTTTAGACCTGTAGATTTTTCTGAGTGCCACCATTTTTAGGTTTAGAATTTAAATGAGTTCTAAAAGAGCTAAGTATGGATTATATTATAATGTTGCCCCAAAAATACTGTATTGAGTAGCTCTTAATATACTGTCCAGTTAGAGAAATCATGGCTAAGTTCCTAAACTTGTGGTTTAGGAAGCTTTATTGCATTAAGTTTTCAAGTTGTAAACCTAGCAATATACTTACAGAGTAAAATGAAGTGAGTAGCTGATAGATAATTGAGAAAAATTGATGTTTATGTTACCTAGTGAAGAAAAGAAACATTTTACTTTACCCTAAAAAGAAGCTTTTGGTACTTGAGCAGGGACTGGAGAATCTATAACTCAGTATGCTTTTTAATGTGAAGTCTTTCAAAATAATTTTTGCTTTATTCTTTGAAACTTTTGAGCAGTTGGTTTGCCTAGTTTCAGAGGGAGTAGAAAAATGAATATAAGAAATGTCTGTTTAGGGAGGCAAATGTGTAAATAACTCTCAGTTGTTTGAGGATAAATGAAATATATGTTTTAGCAGAGATACAAATAAACTCATCATATGGCAAATGAAAAACTCATTCTGACAGAGGGAAATGGAGAATTCACAAAGAAGGAGATATTTGTACTAAACATGGTAAAGGAGAAGGATTTTGATAGAGGGAATGAGATCAAGAGGAAGAAAAAAAATGAGAAAAGGGATACAATCATGAAAATACTTGGAGCTTTGTTGGAACATCATGAGTCTCGTGTGTCTAGACTTCTGTCTTATTGGAGTGGATGGTAGTTGGACGTCGAAGTAAAAAAGAAAGTTTGGGGCAAATTATGGAAGTCCTTGAATGTGACTCTATCAGATTTACATTTTATTACATAGGCTGTAGGAATCCATCAATGTTTATATTCCTTCTATAGGCAATATTTTAAGTTCATTTGAACTTAAAAGTATAAAATCATCCAGAGCTATGGTCTTTCTTTTTCTAACTTCTCTTCCAACCCCTTTCCATAGGCATGTATACTTTTTATATAGTTGTAATTTATATATATATATATATTTATACATATATATATAATGAGATCTAAAGATAGATGGATAGAAAGATAGATAGAAGCTAATGTGAGTAGTCAACTAAATATAGTCAGGAAGAGCTACTAGAACCCCCTTGTCTTCATGCTGGTAAGTAATGATGAAGGTTTACGCCAGGTCACCAGTGAGAAGGGAGAAAGACTAAGAGAGGGTAAGACTTAATCTGAGCTCTCCTAAATTCCAGCTGATGTTGGAGTGCATTTCATCAAGGTTCCATTACTGATTATTTTTCCAAAAATAGGTATCAGTCAAATCATTTCAAATTCAAGTCACTTGTGATGGTGACAGTTTGAAATAATCCATCACTTTCTCTGCTTGTGTTCAGAACAGCATTTTTCAAGCCTCCAGTGAGCCCCTTTAGCTAATTAATCTCTTGATATGAATTTTGCAATCAAGGCCTAATTAGAGCTTTTTTCCATATGTTTTGTGCATCTTAGGAGAAGCTTCAGGGATTTATGTGAAAAGTATAATACCTGGCAGTGCTGCATATCACAATGGTCAGATTCAAGTGAATGACCAGATAGTTGCTGTAAGTAACTGCCCTCTGTTACGGGATTGAATCAAGTTGAGGGAGGGGGGAGTTATCATTATTATAATATATATGCAATGGAAATGGCTTAATATAGTTTTATAATGTTTTAAAAAATTAAGTTTGTACAGTGGAATCTTATCAATTTGGATTCTCATGGTCCTTAACTTTTTTAATTAAAAACTTTTTAAAAATTTAAGTATAAGGTGATTTGCAGTGTTGTGCCAATCTCTGCTATATAGCAAAGTGACTCATACTGCACATATATACATTCTTTTTTAATATTTTTTTCCATTGTGGTTTATCCCATGAAATTGGATATTGTTTTCTGTATTATACAGTAGTTATTTATACCTTCTAATTTTTTTTTAACTGCCTGTGAAGAAAGGAGTCATTAATGGTTGAAAAAAAATACTATATACATATGTATTTTATATAATATGAATACACATATATTTGAAAGATGCTCTAACATTCTCCTAGAAAACACTTTTTAAGCACCTCTTTGTGTTCTTTAAATTCATCAATTTTATATGCAATTAATAGGCCATTTACTGGTGCTATTTATCTCTTTGTGAAAGTAGTTTTCTATTAACAGTAATTTTTAAAAAAAAATTATTTTTTATCAAAGGATAATTGCTTTAGAATGTTATGTTGGTTTCTGCCATACACATGAATCAGCCATAGGTCGTTCTTGCATAGTAATTTTGAGTATATACAAAATTGAGATATTCTATGTATTTGGGAATATAGTCATTGCCTTTCATCAATTGAGATTGGTATTTCCTCCATTTAGTAGAAATTAGTTTATTTACAGTTTATTTTCATAATAATTTTGAAGCAGGTACACACACATTTAATTTAGTGATTCAATCAGAAACAAATGTTGGTATAAATTGAATGTTTGTCCTTCAAATCCATCTGAGGAAGCCTCTTTCATGACCCTTGGCTTTCCAGTATTGGCTTGGGAAATGTTGCTGGAATTGACCATTTGGAGACTGGTGATAAAACTTTGGAGAAAATATTAGGGGAAAAGTTAAGCAGTGGTTTGACTAGCATGAAGAAGATCGAGTGAGGAGGCCTCCTAGTTCTGTTGGACTTAAGAGTGTGATTCCCTGGACCCAGCAAAGGGATGAAGTTTCCAGAGCCCTGAAGACAAAATGTGGACTTATTTTCCATTCTACCTTCATTGGCTGAGCAGCTGCTTAGGACTGCATCTCCTGATTCCTGGCAAACAAATGCAACTTTGCCCCACAGATTGATTGCTTCTCTGAGGTACCCACCTGTACATTTGGGGAGAAACTTCAGGAACAAGGTGAGGAGCAGCAGTCCTTCAATGAGACTGGAGAGATCCCGGGAAAAAATTCTGTCATGAACGAGGCAGTGGGTCAGGTAGAGGAAGTGGCTGTTAAGATGACCAGGAAGCTGGAGAGACAGAAGAAGTGCTTGAAGAAGGAAAAGAGAGGGCTGGCTACAGTTGCCCTGGTATCTTCAGAGAGCAGTATTATCCCCGAGGAGTGTGAGGAGGCAAGAGAAAGACCCAAAAAGAAGGAAAACGAAGAGCCCCAGGAGGCTCTCAGAAGAATGGGATGGGAGACCCATCTGTCTCCTTCTCCAAACCCAAGAAGAAGAAATCTTTTTTTCCACAGAGGAGCTGGTTCGTAGTGATCTTGAAGAAACAGCTGGCAGTAGAAGTCTTTCCAAGAAGAAGAAAAGTTTCACCAAATAAGAACCAGTTAGTGACCCCGAAGAGTCGGGAAACAAGAGAGTCCCAAGGAAAGGAAATTGTCTTCCAAGGAGGAGCCGTTCAGCAGTGGACCTGAAGAGGTCACTGCCAGCAAGAGCAGGGACTCCAAGCAAAAGCAAAAGCTCAGAAAGATCCTCCAGGAAAATCAGAAGGGACATCTCCCTAGTGGGGCAGAACTTGCAGAGATATTTCACAACCCATTGTCTAGAGCCCAATAAAAACCAAAACAAAACAAACCCCTTCCAAAACAAAAAACAAAAAGAACGTATGACTGGGCTTGACTGAGATTAGTAAATGCTTTCTTTCACATGCTTTTTTCAAAATACTGAAAAACCTAACAGAGGGATATTAGTTCCTTCCGGAAAATATCACACAGTGTTATATGGTACAAGGATGAAGTATTGGATGGTCTCTTCAATTTTAGTGATAATGGCTTCTATTAATACAGCTTGAGAGCTGTGTATAAAAATTGACCACATTTTATGGCACTTTGAATGTTGAATAGCATCAGAGACTAAGATCTATTGGCTCTTTCAGGCTATAGGTCAAACATATGACTTAGGAATACAGGTTTCAGTTTGCTTTCTAGTTTCTCAGGAAGTTTGTCAGCATGTTTTACTACTAAATTTGCATTCAAAAGAAGCTAACTTGAAACCTCTCTTTAATGTATCTCTTAATGTTGTAGGTTGACGGTGTGAATATTCAGGGTTTTGCCAACCAGGATGTTGTTGAAGTGTTACGAAATGCAGGACAAGTGGTACACCTAACCCTAGTTCGAAGGAAAACATCCTTGTCTGCTTCTTTATGTGAAGGGCCCTCAGACAGAGGTAATTAATTCCACTGTCTCCCCTCCAACCTTGTAGTCTGGGTTTAGAAGAATAACTCACTTATGGATGTTCTGTAAGTCTGGGAAGGAAAAACTGCCTACCTTCTGTGACCCAGTATGGAGAAGTGAATCAGCTCATTTATGCACTGAAGAAGAGTTTCCTTTGCCTGTTATAATGTGCCAGTCCAAATGTTAGAATGTGAACCCTGATATGCATTAATCTCTGACAGCGTCTCTAAATGGAGATGGAAATCATTTTCCCCAAAAGCTTCCAAATTTCATTTATTACTTGCATTTGAATAGTAAAGCTTTGCCAACCTTTGTTTCAGAGACTCTCATTTGTCTAATGCTTTGACATTTTGCAAACTTCAGGTTTCATATTACTTCTAATGTTTGATTCTAATATTTCTTGATTTACTCTGTGAACTATAGCAAGAGAAAATAAAACGTGGATTTCTGTCAAGGACATTTTGATTTATAAAATAATATTGTTATTTTGATTATAAGAATAGTAGATTTGGAGAAGGAAATGGCAACCCACTCCAGTATTCTTGCCTGGAAAAGTCTATGGACAGAGAAGCCTGGCGGGCTGCAGTCCATGGGATTACATGACTGAGCATGTGTGCACGAGGGTGGAGGAAGATGGGTTGGTAGCAATAAAGTGGTATAACTATAAAAAAAAAGAATAGTAGATTTATGGAACAAATACATAATTCTATGCATGCCAACTTTTAATTGTCAACTTATAGATAGATCAACAAATTTGGTAATTATAGGAACATGTACAATTTAAGTTCAATGACTACTTACATAACTAGTGAGTAGGAAATAGTTAAATTAGAATTTGTCAGAAGATGAGTACATTTTTTTTCTCATACTCTGAAGATATATTATTATATCCTGGAAACTTTTGCTTTCAACTGATATTGAATTATATTGATATTTACATTGGAATTGTTAAAATTTTATATGATAGTGGAAATTTTGCTGCTGAAAGATAGATGCCCTGACAACTGCACTGTATGTGTGAAATTTAGAATTGGTTAAATAATACAAATTGTACATATGCTATATTGATCTTAAAAGGTTTGCATAAATATTTATACCAATATAATAGTTTTCAGCAGCTCTGATAGAACCCTTGGCTTTACTCTGCTGTATCAAATGAACTGTGTCATCTATGAATCAGCAGTTCTTTACTGGGCATGCTTACATTTTAAATTTATATTGGGATAGGTTTTGACCCTAAATCTGCACTTCTTCCATGGTTTGGGTGTCCTTCCTATGTGTTTCATACCCTTTAGTACCCTTTGAAAAGCACTTTGTTGGAGCATTTATCATACTATGTCGTGGTCACCTGTTTTGTTTTCAGCCACTGTAATGTAGGGGAGTGGTTATGTGTCTATCCACTGTCCCATCTAACATATCTCTGTGTGCCTTCTTTATAGGCAGCAGTTAAGTCTATTTTACTGAAACAGACTGCATGGCTTCTAGCTCTTGAGTGATACCTTCCCCTGCCATCCAAAAATCTTACCTTTTCTCCTCTAAACTCTTTTTATTTGCATACTTTGGGTATACTTATTTGTATATCAGTTTGCATACAATTTGTAACACACATCGTGTATGGCTTTGTACTGTGTACCCTGCCTAATGTGTAACTCTTCTCCCCAGGCTACATCAGCAGCGTCTGGCTGGCATTTGTTTTACTGGCATTGGGCTGTACAGTTAGTGTGTATTAAAAGATGAATGTTCTAAAAAATCTTATGGGACTTCCTTGGTGGCGCAGTGGTTAGGAATCTGCCTGCCAATGCAGGAGATACAGGTTCGATCCTTGGACCGGGAAGATTCCACATGCTGTGGAGCAGCTAAGCCCGTGTGCCCTGGAGCCGCACTCTGCAATGACTGAGCCCACATGCTAAAATGACTGAAGCCCCAGTGCCTAGGGCCTGTGTTCCTCAACAGGAGAAGCTACTGCAATGTACCACAGTGAAGAGTAGCCCCTTTTCATCACAACTAGAGAAAGCCTGCATGCAGCAACAAAGATCCAGTGCAACAAAAATAAATAAATAAATAGGTAATTAAAAAGAAAAGTGTGGTTTAAAATGTCATATTAAAATCTTAAGGTCATATTAAGTTTCATATAGAAACTTTTAACTTTTTTTTTAAACTTTTTATTGTAAAAATGTTTGAACACACAGGAAACTTGAAAAATGATATGAAAAATAACCACAGAATCCATCATTTAGATTTTAGCAGTTAACTTAGCCATGTTTGCTTCATCTATTTAGCTTTTTCTGAACCATTTAAGGGTGAGTTGTAGATATCATCAGTCCTACATACTTCAGTTTACAGCTTCTAAAAATAGCCATGATATCATTATCCAGAGAAAATTAATAGTAATTACCTAATATCAAACACCTAACACATAGTTAAATTTTCCAAATTGCTCCCAAATGTCTTTTGTAACTCCTTTTTCCACTTCCCTTACTCCTCTTGAAAACCTCATAAGATCAAGATCATTGATTTTTATGCATTTTACTCATTGCATGTATTATACTTTTTTTTTTTTAAATATAGAAGAATCCCTTGTCCCTGCCTCCATAGCATAGACTTTTTGGAGGGATTTGCCCATTTGTGGCTGGAATACTACTTTCAGAATTTGATTGTTTCCTTGTGGTGTCATTTAACTTGTTACTCTATCCCAAATGTTTCTTGTGAGTTGGGAGCTAGAGCTTAAGCCTTAGATTCAAGTTCTTTTTTTTTTTGTTTTTAAGATTTATTTACTTATTTAGTTTTTTGGCTGTGTTGGGTCTCCATTGTTGCACGCGGGCTTTCTCTAGTTGCAGTGAGCAGGGGCTACTGTTCGTTGCAGTGTGCGGACTTCTCGAAGTGGTGGCTTCTCTTGTTGTGGAGCACGGGCTCTAGGTGCAAGGACTGCAGTAGTTGTACCACATGGGTTCAAGTAGTTTTAGATTGCCAGCTCTAGAGTGCTGTATCAGTAGTTGTGACACATGGGCTTAGTCGCTCTGCCGAATGTGGAATCTTCCCGGACCAGGGATCAAACCAGCGTCCCTTGCATTGCAAGGCAGATTTGTAACCACTGGACCACTAGGGAAGCCCGAGTTCAATATTTTTGATAGGAATACTTTTTAAGTCACTTGTGGCTATTTATGCATGCAGGTCAATCAATATGCAGGTTAAGAAGCAACAGTTAGAACTGGACGTGGAACAACAGACTGATTCCAAATCAGGAAGGGAGTATGTCAAGGTTGTATATTGTCACCCTGTTTATTTAACTTGTATGTAGAGTACATCATGCGAAATGCCAGGCTGGATGAAGCACAAGCTGGAATCAAGATTGCCGGGAGAAATATCAATAACCTCAGATATGCAGATGACACCACCCTTATGGCAGAAAGCGAAGAAGAACTAAAGGGCCTCTTGATGAAAGTGGAAGAGGAGAGTGAAAAAGTTGACTTAAAGGTCAACATTTAGAAAACTAAGATCATGGCTTCCGGTCTCATCATTTCATGGCAAATAGATGGGGAAACAATGGAAACAGTGGGAGACTTTTTTGGGGGGCTCCAAAATCACTGCAGATGGTGACTGCAGCCATGAAATTAAAAGATGCTTGCTCCTTGAAAGAAAAGCTATGACCAACCTAGACAACATATTAAAAAGCAGAGACATTACTTTGCCAACAAAGGTCCATCTAGTTAAAGCTATGGTTTTTCCAGTAGTCATGTATGAATGTGAGAGTTGGACTCTAAAGAAAGCTGAGCACCAAAGAATTGATGCTTTTGAACTGTGGTGTTGGAGAAGACTTGAAAGTCCCTTGGACTGCAAGGAGATCCAACCAATCCATCCTAAAGGAAAATAGTTATGAATATTCATTGGAAGGACTGATGTTGAAGCTGAAGCTCCAGTACTTTGGCCACCTGATGCAAAGAGCTGACTCATTGGAAAAGACCCTGATGCTGGGAAAGATTGAAGGCGGGAGGAGACGGGGATGACAGAGGATGAGATGGTTGAATGGCATCACCTACTCGATGGACATGAGTTTGCGCAAGCTCCGAGAGTTGGTAATGGACAGGAAAGCCTGTCCAACTCCAGGGAAGAGTTGGACATGACTGAGCAGCTGAACTGACTGACTGAACTGTGGTTATTTAAAAATAACCTAAAATGGTTTTGATGGGCTTCAGTCCATGTGGTCACAAAGAGACACGACCATGTGAATAACACAACGAAATGGTTCTTATACAACCTTTCTTGTTTTTGAAGTGAAGTCACTCAGTTGTGTCCGACTCTTTGCGACCCCATGGACTGTAGCCTACCAGAATCCTCAGTCCATGGGATTTTCTAGGCAAGAGTACTGGAGTGGGTTGCCATTTAAAGAGAGAGTAATTGACATGCTTGAGATTGAAAGCTTACATTGCTCAATATAGCTAAGAGAAGAACCTTTGCAACTGGGGGAATTTTCTCCCTTTTCCTTCTCATTCCCAAGCTTACTTACATACAGTCATTTTTTTTTTTTTTTTCAGTCATTTGTTAAACTCATGATAACATCATGCCAGAACCAAGGATTGCCCAAAACAATGGAACTGGCTTTCTGCTTATCTTGCTCCATGCCCACCATAGTAGTGAGAACTATGGCCCCCAGAGTTCTCCTCTTCCCCAACTCCCCAACGCTGTATTGTCATCCTGCTTCATCATAGACTTTACCTTGCTTTTTTCTTTTTGTTGCCTAGTTCATGGTGTTCACTTGTTGTTCTGTTGCTCAGTCATGTCCTACTCTTTGCAACCCCATGGACTGCAGCATGCAAGCTTCCATGTCCTTCACCATCTCCCAGAGTTTGCTCAAACTCATGTCCATTGAGTCAGTGATGCCATCCAACCATCTCATCCCCTGTTGTCCCCTTCTCCTCCTGCCTTCAATCTTTCCTAGCCTCAGGGTCTTTTCTAATGAGTTGGCTCTTTGCATCAGGTGGCCTAATTCCTTATTCTTTTCAATACTAACTACAAGTGTGTTTTCTAAAGAATTGAGCCATTATCACAAATGGCATTTTAAATAAAGGAATAAAATGTGTAAGTTACCTGAGATGTTTGTAATAAGGTTGTGAAATGGAAGAACAGAAGTGAAATAAGCTTATTTAAATATGATCTTCATCTGATAGTGATTCAAGTTAACAATTCCTATTTTAGGAACTGTGGTAGAACCACCAAAAACACCAGCCCTGTTTCTGACTGGAGCAGTGGAAACGGAAACTAATTTGGATGAAGAGGAGAAAACTGAAGAAAGAATGGAGGATCTAAAAAATGACAACATGCAAGCCTTAGAAAAACTGGGTAAGCACAAAGCATTCAATTCAAAGCAGTCAAAGTAATTTGACTTTACCATTTGTTAACCATTTTCTCTCTATAAGTTAACATAATGTGAAGACTTTTAGAGATAGTTTTGAAGATATGAAATAAGATATTCTTAGTATCAGCATCTTAACACAGCAGTTGAGAATAAGCATATTTTTGTTTAATTATGTTGATTTTGAATACATTTTTATTAGTGATCACATCAACATTTTTAATTACTGCATACTTTAGCTTGTGTATTAACATTGATATAGCTATCTGTATACATATAGTGATATTTCCTTTTCACCATAACAGTAGTGTATACACTTGTATATACTTCACCAAATCTCCAGGTTGCTATGTATTTATTGTTTAATTTTCTTTCTAACTGATAAGTACCTGTACCTTTGGGGTTTGTTGTATGTTTCCTCTGCTACTCTAGTTGACTCGACTCTGCAAGCATTTTCAGTCACAGTCTCACAGTTCCCTGTCAGAGGCATTCAGGAAAGACTTGCCGGTTGAATGAAATGGAACGCTTAGACTTCATCCGCGTCCACAGACACTTTGACTTTTGGCTTTGATTGTCTTCTATCAGGAAAGAAGGGCCTGAAGGAAGGAGTAAACACTTCAGTCAAATTTTAAAACTTCATATTGTTTGGAAATTTAGGTTGTTCTTTTTGATCCAAGTGAATTACAGTTAATTTTTGCTATTTAAATTCATGTGAGCCCAGATAGGTGTACCGTGAATTATCAAGTGAAAATCAAATACTTTCTAAAGTTAGAAATATGGGTTTTCCTGATGGTCCAGTAGTTAAGACTGTGCTTTCAGTGCATGTGGCACAGGTGTGATCCCTAGTCAGTGAACTAAGATGCCACATGCCATGAGGCTCAGCCTAAAAGGAAAAAACAAAAACAGTAAAAAAAATAAAATGAGAAGTATTTTTAGAAATATCTGCTCAAAGGATCAACCTCACTTCTATTTTTTTTTTTTCGTGAGTGTATATAATTTCAGTTAGAGAGTTAGACCAAATTCGTCTTTGGTCTAAAAAAATGCTTTGAAGTTAACTCCTTTTGCTGTAAGGGCAGACCCATTTTCCCTCTTCCCTTCTAGTTTCTTCAGTTGGCCTAATAATTAAATTAACATAAGATACAGTAACACAGGAGAAACACAAATTTTCCATGTGTAGGAGTCACATAAAAATGTGAGCCCTTAAGGGCAAGGTGGGCAATTGAGGCTTCTGTGCTATCCTGAGCTCAGCAATGGGGTAGGGGCCTGGGCCTTCCAGTGGGAGGAGTAATTTGCAGGATGATAAGAAGAGCAGACGTTTGATAATTAGAAGTTTGCCCTGCTGTGCAGACAGGTTTTTCAGATTAAAAAGCTGTCTCTGGTGTGATATATACAATGAAATACTGTGTGCTTAGTTGCTGAGTCAAGCCTGACTCTGCGATGCCATGGCTGTATCCCGCCAGGCTCCTCTGTCCTTGGAATTCTCCAGGCACGGGTACTGTAGTGGGTAGTTCCCTTCTCCGTTGGATCTTCCTAACCCAGGGATCGAACCCTGGTCTCCTGTGTTTCAGGTGGATTCTTTCCCATCTGAGCCACCAGAGAAGCCCACAATAGAATATTACTCAGCCATTAAAAAGAATTAAATAATGCTGTTTGCAGCAATGTGGATGGACCTACAGAGTGTCCTATTGAGTGAAGTAAGTCAGACAGAGAAGCAGAGATATCATATGACATCCATTATATGTGGAATCTTAAAAGAAATGATACAAGTCAACTTACAAAACAGAAACAGACTCACAGACTTTGAGAATGAGCTTATGGTTGTGGGGATGGGGCTGGGGGGAAAGTTGAGGGGAAGGGATAGTTAGGGAGTTTGGGGTGGATATGTACACACTGCTATATTTAAAATGGATGACCAACAAGGACCTACTGAATACAGCACATGGAACTCTGCTCAGTGTTATGTGGCAGCCTGGATGGGAAGGGAGTTTGGAAGAGGATGTATGACTGAGTCCATTCTCTCTTCACCTGAAACTGTCACAGCTTTGTTAATTGGCTACGTGCTTAGTGTGTGCTTCGTCACTCAGTCATGTCCGACTCTTTTCGACCCCGTGGACAGTAGCCCACCAGGCTCCTCTGTCCATGAAATTTTCCAGGCAAGAATACTGGGGTGGGTTGCCATTCCCTACTCCATAATCAGCTATACCCCAATATAAAATAAACGTTTTAAAAAAACAAACTCTAGGGGGGTCTGGTCATACAGGGCAGCCTCCACAGTATTGTGGGGAAAAAAAGTTGTCTCCGGTTATAGCTCTCTTTCTGGTACAGGTTCCCTAGCTAAATTCCTTTAGGTAGTTAAGGGAGGGATGAACGTTTTTCCTGAGTCTGCTGGATCTTGGCTGCCTTTAGATTGAAACAATCCACATTCCAAGGTGGCAATAGTTGGCATATTCTTTGTTGCCAATGAAATAATTGTGTCAGATCATCTTAATATTCATTTTTTGTGTGTGATCATTTTGAATTTAGAATTTATTGAGCTGCTGAAAGTAATCTCTTTCCTCTGGTACATAGGCCTTTGTTATCTGATTTAAAACTCAGGACTGTGATTTCATTGTATGACTGAGGTAAAAATAAACTTAAAAGAATTGTAGGTGAAATAAACATCTTACACATGTGTATAAAATTTCTTTAGATATCATGTTTTTAAGCTTACAAGCAACCAACACATTACAAGTTTTCTTTAAATTAGCCTACCACATAAGAAACTGGTGTCTGTGAGAAATTTAATAGAACTCTTAATGTAATTTCTTATGGAAATGTTAATAGAGTAGGCACAAAGGTGCCGACCCACATGAAGGACATTTTGTTTTTAATAGAATTTTTAGTTAGTTATCCTCGAAATGTAATCTAGCACATCAGTTAATGCAGTTACTTTGTGGATATGCGTTTGTAAATCTAGTAATATAAGTACTTTAGTGTTCATTAGTCTTAGTCTCTGATTTTTGAGGTTAGTCTGTTTTACTTAATGATTTGCACTATGTAATTAAGTATTATATGCATCTGAGATTAGATGTCTGCTGAAGGCTTGAAAAAGCTGATCTTGCAAGTTACGTTTGATTTTAGACAGATGGTTCTATCAGTTGTGGTAAGTGTTCTGTGACTTGTCCACTCTTGTGACACAATTGAGTTTTTCTTAAAAGAGAAAAGGTAGAGGTCTGTTTATTGTCTGCTACCACTGTGGATCTAAATTGAAATTATAGTTTTAGTACTTTGATTTTTGTCTATTAGGTGTTACTCAGACTGCAAACTGCATTGAGCTTCTGGCTAAGGTCATATGGAGGATAAGCAGGACATTTAAAATCTGTCTTCACTTTTAAAAATCATCTGACCTATGCAAAAAAGGCAGTACTCCCCTTAAGTAAGAAAATCATAAAGGTATATAGCCACAAAAGACCAAAGTAAAACCAAAGTTTCTGTTACATTAAAGCTCATGCAACTCATTGGTTGAATTAAATCAGACAAACTTTTATATCCACCCAAGTAAAAAGCTTGATTGGGTCATGTTGGTGTGCCTTGTTGATAGTAAAGATATCTTGATAGGTTTTTACACTTCCTTTGGGTGAGTGGAAGGTACTATGCTGAAGCGATTAACATTCACCTTAAATCTTTCTTTGTCCTAACATAGCTAGCATAAAGCAAAGCCAGATGCATTTTACTTGTAAACCACAGGATGTTTGCATATAAACTATATAATTCAGATTTCATTGATAACTTATCATTTCCTCTTCCGTTTAAAATATTCCTTAACAGCAGAAGCCCTATTCATAGTTTGGTCACAGCCAGTCTTTACATTTTACATGTCTTATAAGTCACCTCTGATTGCTGCTGCTGCTGCTAAGTCGCTTCAGTCATGTCCGACTCTGTGCGACCCCATAGACGGCAGCCCACCAGGCTCTGCCGTCCCTGGGATTCTCCAGGCAAGAACACTGGAGTGGGTTGCCATTTCCTTCCCCAATGCATGAAAGTGAAAAGTGAAAGTGAAGTCGATCAGTCATGTCCAACTCTTAGCGACCCCATGGACTGCAGCCTACCAGGCTCCTCCGTCCATGGAATTTTCCAGGCAAGAGTACTGGCGTGGGCTGCCATTGCCTTCTCCCACCTCAGATTAACTTTACCTAAATAGACCTAAGTTAATACACTTTCATTTTTATTCATTTCCCTTTTACTTACTCAAACTGTGCTGTTATGGGAGAATTCAGTAGTTCAGTGGGTTTAACTCACAGTAGCTTCAACTTTTTTTTTTTTTTAATCCAGAAAAAGCCCCAGACTCTCCAGAAAATGAGCTGAAATCCAGATGGGAAAACGTACTGGGCCCTGATTATGAAGTAATGGTATGTTAAAATCTTCTAATAAGAAACACTCATGTCTCATTCTATGTCATGCTCCTAATGCCACAATTGAAAGAAATGGGAGACTCAAAGAATAACCAGCCTGCCTTTATTTTTTCCTCCTGTGTTTTTTTCCCTATTGAATCAATTAATTAATTTTATTTTTTCATTTTAGACTGCAAGAACAGATAAGGACTGGACACAAGTTTCAGTTACAATTAACAGACACTCAGTTCATGTTGAGACCATTTAAGTTAACAATAGGCTGAAAAATGTTAGGAGAGAGAGGACTTGCCTTTAAATTTATAACCTGTATCAGCTGCTTAAAATTGCTGGCATTTTTATGATTGCTTTTATGATCTGTTTGTTTTATTGTACACTGAAAGGGTTGTGGATATTAGTCCTATGTTTCACAAAGAATGTTACAGTTTTATGAGAAAATGAAAGAATGATTATCAAATGTATTTGGGAGAACAGGAAGTAATTTAGGTTAGGTATAAGTTTATAGTGCCAGTGGTCCATTAGACTTCCTTTCACCTGTTATTAGATTCATTGAGTAAGGGATTGATTACATTTCCCCCAAATGAATCCACATGAAAGCAGAAAGCTGTGCTTAGAAAAGCCTCTGCAGTGCCCATTAAACATGTTAGTAATAAAGTATTCTATTAAATTTCTATTGTTATTCACATTTTCTTACATATGTTTGCCATTAGTATTTGTTGGCTGGTTGGAGATTTTTTTTTCTATTCTAGCCACTATCTATTGTCAGACATTTTCCAGTGTCATTAACATGAGTCAAAACAGTTTATGCTTTCTCTTCTTGCTAGTTTTGTACTTGCATGTTGGTCCTCATGAACTGTTGCTTCTTCGTAGATTTTGGAGCTGTTTTGTCATTAGCCTATCACCTAGTGAATGACCTTTCTACTATTTGGAGTGGTTACTATCCAAAATAGTTTTGTGTACCAGTTTTTTTAAATGGTTGGTTTTAAATGAGCTCTTTTTGGTTAAAAATTTATCCTCTTTGGGGCATCCCCAGTGGCTCAGCGGTAAAGGATCTGCCTGCAGTGCAGGAGACATAGGAGATGTGGTCTCCATCCCTAGGTCTCGATTCCAGGAAGATCCCCCGGGGGAGGAAATGTATTCAGTGAAAAGTACTGAAATGTATTCACTCCAGTATTCTTGCCTAGGAAATCCCATGGACAGGAGTGGGCTACAGTCCATTGGGTCACAAAGAGTTGGACACGACTGAACATGCACATTATCCTCTTTATAACTACCTTTCCAAATTTAATTTATCACATGATGAGGTCATAACCGAGGGGCTCGCAAGAGGAGACAGAATTTGGAGTTGGAAATTTAAAGTGACAGGGACAAGGCAATGAAAGGAGAAGCCAGGCAAGATGGATGAGTGAATGTGTACATACAAAAGTGCATACCTACTGCATGCACATGCTCTAGTGTTTCTTACTGTATTTTCTTCCAGAAAATACTTATCTGAAGTGCAGTACTTGTAGGAGATTTAGCTGAACCGCTGTTTAACTTATCCCCCCTCCAGGTGCACTGTATTTTATTAACAACTTACAGATGCAAGTCATCAGTGAAGTGTTTTGCTTGCAAGGAATTCACTTCTGTGGATGTCTACCACTGAAGCTCAGAACAATAGTTTTAGGCCATGATTAAAAGCTTTCAGGATTCCACCATCTTCCCACCAGTCCAGGTCTTTTGTTTGTGTCCTCACTGGCTCTTTCTCCTAGAGAAATGATTTGAGCTTGCTGTGGAAATTCAGGTGCTTCAGTTTTTCCAAACTTCTCTGATATTAATGAACTTGCAAACTTTGTTTCAAGGCCTAGGTTTAGAAATAAAAATGACCATAGTCTTGGTTTTGTGAAAAGAATAAAATTTTTATGGTTTTAATATAATGGAGGATTAAATTAAAATTTTAGGCATCATGGATTTTTAAAAATAGTACATATATTTGCCCATCACCTTCTAGTTCAACTTTTGAATCATTTATGAAAAAAGACTATTGGGGAGAACAATGTCAAAAGAGCAAATATTCTCTGAGATTTTATATTGTGTGTTATGGATTTTAGAAACATAGAAAAAAGATTAGATGGAGTTATCAATATATAGGTTTTATACATATTTTTTTCAGAAAGCCTAGGAAGAAATAAAGTTATGCTTTTACAAATATTGACAGTATCTTTTCTTGTGAATTTAGGTTGCCACTTTGGATACACAGATTGCTGATGATGCTGAATTACAGAAATATTCGAAGGTAAGCACATTGTTTAAACCGTTGTCAGTTTTTTGTTGCTTGAAGAACTTTCTCTAAATTCTTGTCAAAGTAACTAGATCAATGCTGTGACCTAAAGTTTTCAGATTTTAATTTTAGAGGTTTTCTGGAAATGTAGTAGGTTCTGACTGGTATGAAATGTGATAGTTAGATGTGCCTGGGAAGAATGTAGGCCACTTCAGATGCCAAAATTCCAGGCTTGACTGCTTTGCCCACCTTAAAGGTAGTGTTCAGAGCAGGCTTTTCAGTGTTAGTTTTTCAGATATTATAAGTCCTTTTAAATTGTTTCCTGGACTTCCCTGATGGTCCAGTGGTTAAGAATCTACCTGCCAATGTAGGGGATATGGGTTTGATTCCTGGTCTGGGAAGATTCCACATGCTGGCAGATCAACGAAGCCCATTTACTACAACTACTGACCCTAACAAATATTCAGTTAGACTGAATATTTGATACTTTGTACGCCAACTACAGAAGGCTTAAGGTGATGTTATCTCTGTCCAAAGGAGTCACTGTTTCTTCTATTAAGGAGATGCTGTGCATGTGTGTGGGGGGGGGAGGGGGGTGTGTGCAGTGAGGCAGAGGTATGGTTCAGGTAAGGTTTGGACTCTCTTGGGTTGCCTTTGCTCCCAACACATGACCTTTCAAGTATTCCATTGAGTCTGAGGTATTTATCAGTCCCTGCTCCCTGGTGGAACCTGGGAACTCCAAGTCTCCCTCAGTACTTTGGGATTGTAGAAATCTGCTTAGCTCTTCAGGGGTTTCCTGATTAGCTTCAGCTTCCTTGCTGTTAGAACTTGAGATGTCCTTGGAGGAAACCATGCCCTCTCTCAGGCTCAGTTCATCATGTAGTTCAGCTTTAGTTGTTCTTACATATTCCGAGCTGTAAGACCCCATCTCATCATTTTCTATTCTAAGGAAAAAATATAGTGACCACACCTTTTACATCTTAAAGAGTGTCGTTGTCTTTCTCCAGGCAGAACATGTTCTCTCTCATCTTCATCCCTACTTCCTTGCCCCCAGTCTACTTATCTTCTTCCTGATCAGCTATGCATTATATCTGTTTGCACTGAGTTACTCTGGCATAATGGTGTGGAAAGGTTTTGAGTAGAACAGATGTTCAGAACCAACTCACCAGTACATTTAGCTGTTCATTTGTTCATTCATCAAGTATTTATTGATATCAACTCAGTGCCAAGTTCTCCACCGGGTCTGGGATTTCAGAAGAGAACAGGAATGAAAACAAAACAAAACAAAACAATCCCTGCCCTGTAGAACTTATATTTTAGTAGGGGGAGATAGAAAATAAGTAATAAATTATATAGTATAGATGATATGTGCCAAGCAAGAAAGATGAATAAAGAATTCAGGAGAGAATGTGGGTTTGCAATTTTAGATAGGTTGATCAGGAAAAGCCTCATTAAGAAGGTAACATTTGAGGAAATACTTTGGGGATGAAATAAGAAGCCTAATTTTTCTTCTGTATAATACAAACAATAAAATCTACATTGTAGAAGCTTACATATAAGTATATTTAATATATACCCCAGTTAGTATAGCTCAGTGCCGATACATAAGAACCATTCCATAAATGATAGTTTTGTTTCCCAGTTGTATGCTTCTAGTACTTTTAACCTCTGACCTATTAAGGTCTCCTTTAAAAAAAAAAAGCTGTTTTAAAACATTTAATTGAAATTGGAATAGTAAAGAATCCACCTGCCAATGCAGGAGATGCAGGTTCGATCATCCCTGGGTTGGGAAGGTCCTCTAGAGGAGGAAATGGCAACCCATTCCAGTATTCTTGCCTGGAAAGTTCCATGGGCAGAGGAGCTTGGTGGTGGACTGTAGTCCAAGGGATTTCAAATAGTTGGACACGACTATGTATGCACACACTAGATTATAGCAAAAACTTTGTTTTTTAATTTTTTTACACTAGAAGAATTGCACTATCAATCCTTAATAGTGCAATCCTTAATTGCACTATTCTTTTTTTCATATTTTGTTGTTACCTGTATATGTTTACATACTTGTAGTTGGTATACTCATTCTTTTTTTTTTTCTTTTTTCCATTAATTTTTATTAGTTGGAGGCTAATTACTTTACATCATTGCAGTGGTCTTTGTCATACATTGAAATGAATTAGCCATGGATTTACATGTATTCCCCATCCCGGTCCCCCCTCCCACCTCCCTCTCTACCCGATCCCTCTGGGTCTTCCCAGTGCACCAGGCCCGAGCACTTGTCTCATGCAGCCAACCTGGGCTGGTGATCTGTTTCACCCCAGATAATATACATGTTTCGATGCTGTTCTCTTGAAATATCCCACCCTCGCCTTCTCCCAGAGTCCACAAGTCTGTTCTATACATCTGAGTCTCTTTTTCTGTTTTGCATATAGGGTTATCGTTACCATCTTTCTAAATACCATATATATGTGTTAGTATACTATAATGGTCTTTATCTTTCTGGCTTACTTCACTCTGTATAATGGGCTCCAGTTTCATCCATCTCATTAGAACTGATTCAAATGAATTCTTTTTAATGGCTGAGTAATATTCCATGGTGTATATGTATCACAGCTTCCTCATCCATTCGTCTGCTGATGGGCATCTAGGTTGCTTCCATGTCCTGGCTATTATAAACAGTGCTGTGATGAACATTGGGGTGCACGTGTCTCTTTCAGATCTTGTTTCCTCGGTGTGTATGCCCAGAAGTGGGATTGCTGGGTCATATGGCAGTTCTATTTCCAGCTTTTTAAGAAACCTCCACACTGTTTTCCATAGTGGCTGTACTAGTTTGCATTCCCACCAACAGTGTAAGAGGGTTCCCTTTTCTCCACACCCTCTCCAGCATTTATTGCTTGTAGACTTTTGGATAGCAGCCATCCTGACTGGCATGTAATGGTACCTCATTGTGGTTTTGATTTGCATTTCTCTGATAATGAGTGATGTTGAGTATCTTTTCATGTGTTTGTTAGCCATCTGTATGTCTTCCTTGGAGAAATGTCTGTTTAGTTCTTTGGCCCATTTTTTGATTGGGTCATTTATTTTTCTGGAGTTGAGCTGGAGGAGTTGCTTGTATATTTTTGAGATTAATCCTTTGTTGCTTCATCTGTTATTATTTTCTCCCAACCTGAGGGCTGTCTTTTCACCTTGCTTATAGTTTCCTTTGTTGTGCAAAAGCTTTTAAGATTCATTAGGTCCCATTTGTTTATTTTTGCTTTTGTTTCTAAAATTCTGGGATGTGGGTCATAGAGGATCCTGCTGTGATTTATGTCGGAGAGTGTTTTGCCTATGTTCTCCTCTAGGAGTTTTATAGTTTCTGGTCTTACATTTAGATCTTTAATCCATTTTGAGTTTATTTTTGTGTATGGTGTTAGAAAGTGTTCTAGTTTCATTCTTTTACAAGTGGTTGACCAGTTTTCCCAGCACCACTTGTTAAACAGGTTGTCTTTTTTCCATTGTATGTCCTTGCCTCCTTTGTTGAAGATAAGGTGACCATAGGTTCGTGGATTTATCTCTGGGCTTTCTATTCTGTTCCATTGATCTATATTTCTGTCTTTGTGCCAGTACCATACTGTCTTGATGACTGTGGCTTTGTAGTATAGTCTGAAGTCAGGCAGGTTGATTCCTCCAGTTCCATTCTTCTTTCTCAAGATTACTTTGGCTATTCGAGGTTTTTTGTATTTCCATACAAATTGTGAAATTATTTGTTCTAGTTCTGTGAAAAATACCGTTGGTAGTTTGATAGGGATTGCATTGAATCTATAGATTGCTTTGGGTAGTATAGCCATTTTGATAATATTGATTCTTCCAATCCATGAACACGGTATATTTTTCCATCTGTTTGTGTCCTCTTTGATTTCTTTCATCAGTGCTTTATAGTTTTCTATGTATAGGTCTTTTGTTTCTTTTTTATTTATTTATTTATTTATTTATTTTTTATCACAACCATAGTGTATCTTTTTTTTTTTTTTTTTACATGGGTATACTCATTCTTTTGTATGATATATGTGGCAGAGAAGGGATGTGTGCTTTTTTTTTAATGTAACATTATCACGTTTACTTTTTTAAACATTGATTTCTTCTATAATGAGCTATAATTTTAAAAAATCCTCTTAAAATTGGAAGTTTGGTTCTTGATGTAGTAGTTTCTACTTTCTCTCTGCAATATGTAAAGAAAACTGGCCTGTCTAAACCCATTTCACACACAAGGATCCTAAAGTTTGCATAGGTTGAATGAGTCACCTCAGTTTATACAACTGGTTAATATAGTAGCAGAGGCAGCTTGCAGCTTAGAGAGCATTTTTTCATTCCTGTAATATTTACAGAGCTCCTACTTCACACCAGACACTGCAGCCAACTGTGGGGAGCAGAATACAAAGGGTCCTCTCTCTCCTGGAGCCTGGGTTCTGGGCTAGGTTTGCTGTGCTGTGTTTAGTCGCTTAGTCATGTCCAACTCTTTGTGACCCCATGGGCTGTAGCCTGCCAGGCTCTTCTGTTCATGAGGATTCTTCAGGCAAGAATACTGGAGTGGGTTGCCATGCCCTCCTCTGGGGGGTCTTCCCAACCCAGGGATTGAACCCAGGTCTCCTGCATGGCAGGCAGATTCTTTACCATCTGAGCCACCAGGGAAGCCCAAGAATACTGGAGTGGGCAGCTTATCCCTTCTCCAGAGGATCTTCCCGACCCAGGAATCAAACCAGGGTCTCCTGCATTGCAGGTGTGTTCTTTACCAGCTGAGCTACCAGGGGAGCCCTGAGCTTGGCTTGGGTCATGATAATAAACAAGTGTAACCTGAGAATATAGCTATAAATTGTAAAAGTGATGCAAGGTAGTGATTGTAAGAAGTCATGATGATTTAAGAAGCATAAACAGAATGATGAAAGCAAGTGCAGTTGGGAAAGAGTTGGCCTGTTGGGGGAATGGAAGTTGTTTTGGAGTGTCCAGGTCCAACTAAATGAGCAGTAGGATGTTTTTAGGTGAGG